CTAAGTATCATGAATATTTTCATCAATTCGTGCGGCTCTGGCCCATTCATGGATCTTGACAGCTACCTAATGAATTTTAGATGAATGCTAATTGGAGTTGGATTCCGATAAACGAAATGATTTACCTTTATTGAAAATTCCCTTACCCCAAAGTCGGGACTTATGCTGTGCGAGATCAACATTATCTATCCATTAAAGTGGAATCAATTGAAATTGTTTGCCAACTGCGAATCGGGGGCCCATCAGGAAACGAAATTTGTTACGGGCTCCATACAGTCGTCGGCACAATCGAGTCAAGAGTCGGATGAAATGGGACGCCAATGACGAGCCGATGATGCTGAAGTGGGATGGGGGGCGGGTTGTTGGAGTGTGCTGTGGTGGGTGTGGGCCCTCTAAAGATAGGGGAAATGTATGTGTGGTAGCTCTTCAAAGGCAAAAGGCCAAATCAATGAATTTAAAATGAAACGAGGGGGAACGTTGTGAGTTGCTGCGGACACCGCAACTCTACGGTTATACCCGATACTAAGTCAGTATGGCTCGCCTCCGGCAGACGCCGCTAATATTTAACGACACGACAAAGAGTGCGTGCGAGAGAGACAGAAAATCAGTCTGAGCGTGACGTCGGGCGCTGCGTAGCCACTAAAAATTGATTTCTTGCTTTTGGCTACAAAAATGATCCGATCTGATCCAGATTCGGCAACCGGATAGATATGGTCATTCTCTATGCGTTTTTAGTTTTCTCAAATCTGCAATATTGTGGATGCAACAGATTTTCGTCCTTTGTGGGGGCGGATGGGGGTGGGGCGAAATTCTGAGATATACGTTTTATAGTGACATCTTAAAGGAGTGTGTATACCAAATTTGGTTACTCTAGCCTTAATAGTCTCTGAGATTTGTGGTTGTCCCAGATTTTCGTCCTTTGCGGGGGCGGAAGGGGGTGTGGCGAAATTTGGACAGGAAACGGTCAAGGTCCGATATCACAGGAGTGTGGATACCAAATTTGGTTGCTCTGGCTTTTATAGGTTCTGAGATCCTTGAACTCATATTTTGCAATTGGCAAAACCGACCATGAAACCTGTGTGTTAGAGTGAGACAGAGCGAGAAAGAGTGAAATTGTTTTCGTGATTCTGGCTGTAATAATTATACGTTCAGATTTTGCACTCTAGAAGATATAGTCATCTTCTACGATTCTGCGTTTTTAGTTTTCTCGTATCGTCAAAATTGTGGATGCCACAGATTTTCGCCCTTTGTGGGGGCGGAAGTGGGCGGGGCAAAGTTTTGAAATATTTTTGGAGCAGTGACATATCACAGAAGTCTGGATCCAAAACATCGTTGCTCTAGCTCTTATAGTCTTTGAGCATTAGGCGCTGAAGGGGACGGACAGACGGACAGACGGACAGACGGACGGACGGACAGACGGACAGACAGACATGGCTCAATCGACTCGGCTATTGATGCTGATCAAGAATATATATACTTTATGGGGTCGGAAACGATTCCTTCTGGACGTTACACACATCCACTTTTACCACAAATCTAATATACCCCAATACTCATTTTGAGTATCGGGTATAAAAATTCCATGAAAAATAAAGACTCGTATCCTTGGCCTATTCTGGAGCTTTCATACTTTTTAGCGAACACTTTTTGAGGACAGCGTGGGAAGTATCCTTCCCCAGCCACAGGTTACATTTTCGGGAGTGTTAGATGGGAGGGGGTAGGATGGGGAGTGGAACATCCTTAATAGGCTTAAGAACAGAGCCCAAAGCCGACTTAAATGCAAACGCACTTTATTTAATGACAGGAGCCACAGCATTTGTCAGAGTAGAGAAGCTGGAAACGGGAGTTTGGAGTTACAGCTACAGTGGATACAGATTCCCAAGTAACCTTTCGATTAAACCATAGCTCGCCAATAACGATCATAACTTGTTTCCTTTGAAGTCTGGTCACTGACATAAACACTGAGCAAAACACTCAGTAAAAACAGTAACAAAGGAGAAGCATAAATTTACTTTTGCGACCCACTGTGCAGGGCCTACTTACGCGGTGCGTAATCGGAAATCAAATGAAACGCAATTAGTCAGGACCGGGCACCCGGCACCTGGCACCTGGCACCTGGCATCTTCCTTATGCACTGTTTGCCTTCTTGTTTGCTGCTGATGGGATTTGCAGGAAGCTTCGCAAGAAGCGGCGTCTCCCAGGCGGATTGTACTCCCGACCCTTCCCCGACTGGGCCTGAGTGGGTGGCATATGGGACGCCATCGAGATGGGTTTTTTTTATCACCCCCCACCGCGCGGCCCCGAAAGTCATTTCAATATTTTACGACCCACGAACTTTCCGTTAGGCAATCGAATTTGTGTTTGTTATTTCTGTCGTAGTCAGAGTCGGAGAAGCATAGAGCCATTAAAAATCAATTGGGCCAACAAATGCAAAGTGCCCGGCACATGTAAAACGGAACACTTTATAGCGACTCGAGGCTACCAAAAAAAATGGCACAAGTTCTCAAGGTCTGCCCACGGACAGACATTGGAGCGTAAACAGTGTAGCTTGAGGCCCGTACATCTGGCTACATTCCGCTAAATTGATTCCAAACTGGCAAAGCTCTCCCGCCTACTCACCCCATGCCACGCAAGCATGGAACTCTGGAACGCCCCACTTGGCAGGGGGGATTCATGGTCAGGGCGTGCTCGCAGATTTTAAATTTTGAGTGCCGCAAAATGGGGGCAACTACTTGTGGTACATCAATCTCCGATCAATGTGATTGCACTGCCCCATCCCCATTCCCATACCGATTCTTATCGACTATTATACGAGATGGAGCACTGATTCAGCGGCTACTGTGGTCTTTGCTGCGTCGTTACCATCGTTACCATAAACGCTGACTCGACCCGGAGTCGTCTTCCGATTCGATTTCTACTCCTTAGAGCCAGTCTGTCGGAGGCGGATGCCCGTGGCTCACATGCAGTGCACAACACTTCCGACGGGCTGTGGCCATATCCTTGTCTCCGTCTTCGTCCTTTGTTTCACCCACGCCCCCGACGCTGGGCAAGGGGGTACGGTGGCAACTGGCCAAGATACAAATTGCTGTACCCCAAAGGAAACCACTTGCAGCGAATGGCTGAATGGCTTGCTTCTTTACGATTATGGGGGCACTTCTCATTGTATTGTATTCGGATCGTAATAAGGCTCGTTGTGGCTTTCAGCATTCGATGTGAATGCAAATACATGCGGCGCTATTTTACAACCAGAAGACAAGTGTTGTCCAAACAAAGCTTTGGGCCGGCAAACCGACAAAGACGGTTCGATTTGATTGATTTGTCCTTGCTGTTCGTGTTGGGTCTGGCTGTTGGCTTATCATTAGGGAGATGATCTAAGAGCCTTTGGAGTGCGATTGAGTGGCCCCAGGACACATTTTGTTCAACTAATGCCGATCAAACACGAGATGAGAGGAGTGATGCCCAATATCTATAATGGAATCTCTGGCTGAGCTGCTCTGCATACAGTTCTAGTGCCCGAAAACCGGCCAATTTAATTCTTTCGACAAAGTCAGAAGCAGAAGAAACTTTGTTCCGATATTAAACGCTCCCTGTGCTCCGTGCTCCGTGCTCCGTGCTCCGACTTAATGGCTCTGCTGTCAAAGCTCAGGCGCTCAATTTTCGACGGGGAGGTAGTTACTTTTAGAGCCAAATTATTTTTTGGCGCTTTTGAAAAAACTTTAAAAAAAGGTGGATCCACCGTCAGAGGAAAGTTGAGCAACGAATTTATAATTTCCAGCAAGGTCTTTGGTCTGGGGTCTGGGGTCTGGCTATGACAGTATTCGTGAGGCTATGTGTATTTCTATCAGGAGCTCACGTTTCAGCAGAGCTTCACAAATTGCTCCACATGTCGGCAGATTATTAGGAGGCGATTGCCTATCTTCAATCCGTACCCTTGGTTATGGGGAGAGCGTGGTCGCGATAAGAACTTGTTTCAAAGTTTGTCTCCTGGTTGCGGTATCTGTTCATTTACCTAGCCGAACTTTTATTTGCTAAAACGGAATTAAAAGTTTAGCTTGTCTTCCCTTGACTCTAGTTCTCATACTCGAAATACATTTTTCCTTTTACTTACTCGTTGAATTTTCATAGCGAACTGGAGCGCATTTTTCTTCCATTACCATGGAAAACAATTAGCTCGAGGAGGCGGGACAGGAACTGACTGGCTACTAATTAAAATTCACTCAGGGCTGCTCAAACAAGCACAACAATGAATGGAACGAAACAGCATTCGATAAAGTCAACAACTAATTCCGAACGGACCCACATTCCCTTCCCAACATTCAGCTGCAATTTACACAAAAATTCCATTGAATTGAATGCCGCCCAATCCCGACCCCTGCTCTACTCCAACTCCGTCTTCAAAGCCACGGGTCTGCTGCAGGGGGAACAAAAGTTTTGAATTTTATTGTCCCAGCTTAAAAGCTAGATGCAGAAGATTTGAACACAGAAACTTTGTGACCTGGGGCGTAGAAGGAGAACGTGCAGACAAACAGTCGAGTCGAGTCAAGTCGATAGTCGCACAAGATGCTCGAATGCTCAGATGCTCAGATGCTCGGATGCTGCATAGTTTCTCAAGTCAAGATATATGAAGGGCCAACGCAAAGTTTTGCTTCGCACGGAACGGACTGGATTTGTCCGGGCCAGAGCTTCATGTGTGAGAATTTAAAGGAAACTTTGGCGGCTTGTTCGGTGTTTGTGGCTATGTATGTGTGGCTAATGTCGTGATTTTCATTATAATGGCACTTAGACCAAGAACATAGTGTATCGATTTCCTCGATGGGAGTACTTTATGGAGTCAATCCTTTAAATTATCACTAATGTCAAACAAGTGGCAAACTTTCTCGGGTCGGAACAATTAACGAGTCTATCAACCCATAATTAGGACCACAACTTACTGTCATTAGGCGGAAGTTACTAGCGTATATAAGCATGATCCAGGGGCGCCAGTTGCAACCAACTGTGACATGAAGGACACCGGCAAGTGGCCAGCACCAGCACCTGGCAAGAGAGTCTTGGAAAGGAGGCGGCGCCTGGGCCCCCTGAGGTCAGCCATCGCCAGCACCTTCTGGGAGTACACGGAGCGGACGAAGGTAAGCGGAATGTGGCTGCTGCGACGTCAGCGCACCCACGGATTGTCCAGGTGAGTTAGAATTCCACTCCCATCCTTCCTCCCAGTGCACAGGACAGATTTCAGATTCATTTGGTCCTCGGTGCTGCTGCAGTTGCTCCTGCTGAGTATCTACCTGACCCTCCTACTCTGGCTGAAGTTCTATTCGTATCCCATTTTGAACACCATCTCAAACGATCTCTCCATCACGGACGTGGCCTTTCCCGGCGTCACCATCTGCAGTCCCAAGGTGGTCAACACTGAGCGTGTGGAACGCTACGTCAAGACCCTGTGAGAAATTAAAAAACCCTTTTGAGTACCCTCTAAGGTAACTCCATTTCACAGTAATATTCCCCCAGAGTACGAGATGACTGATGTGGCAGCAGGGTTCGAGTTCCTTAACGCTTTCACGGACCAGAGCTTCGAGCCGCCGGCCCACGAGAGTTACAAAGTCACCGATGCGGTGCTTCGGATGAACAACGTGAGCGTCTGGGAGGCAGCCATGGCCGTCAGTCCGGGTTGCTCGGACTATGTAAAGAGATGCTTCTGGGGCCACACTGAGTTCCCATGCAACCAAAGCCACGAGTATCTCTCCTTCATACCGACGACGGCATATTTGGGCCCGTGCTGCTCCTTCAACTATAATCCGCGCAACTCCAGCTATGTGCCCTTTTCGGCCAACATCTTTGGCATGGATGGGGGTCTCACCTTTGTCGGCGCTGAGGGCTCTGAGCGCAATCTCAACACGGGTCTTATAGTCCTTGTCCACCATCCCATGGACTATGTCACCGAGTCGGCCTCCTCTGTGACAATCACCGCCCGATCTGAGAGCTTTCTTGAAGTGTCGCCCACCGTACAGAGCTCTTCGGCGGAGGTACTGGAATTGTCGGAACGAAAGCGGGACTGCCTCATCTCGGACGACTTGAGGCTCCGAAACTACCGGCAGGCCGCCTGCCTGCTCTCCTGCCAGACGGAGGCCATCGTCGCGAAGTGCGGCTGTCATCCGTATCTCCTCCCCATCGTCGGCAACCAGTTCAAGGAGTGCAATCTAAATGATACATTCTGCTACTCGGCCAACTATGGTGAGTTCCTCTTCCCACGGAGCATCCCATGCCTCATTCGGGCTTACTGTCACTTCTGGTTCTGCCCACGCGCATCCTTCAGGGCCTGACAAGGTTCACGTACTCCCCTTCCGACAGCCTTTATCACGTTGTCGCCTTCGCCCTTGGCTGCTGTACTTTTCATGTATTTTCCATGCTGCTGCTGTTGCTTCTACTGCTGCTGCTGCTGCTCCTGATGCGGTGACTGTGGCGTATTGTGTGGGTGCTCTGTTGTCGTCTCTTGTGCTCGCTCATGTTTCATAATTTATATTAAATATTCAGGATACTCACGTGCCCGAGTGTCTGCATTATACGCCATGACTAGGATGCGCCCACAAATCGCTTGGGAGCTCATTTGCACGTTAATAAACCCCTAAAGCGCTCCCTCCGATATGATATGCAAATTTAAAAAAAAAACGAAAGGTTCCCCCTTAACTTAACTTTACCTTTCGCAGACAACTTTAAGAGTGTGCGATGCGACCAGTGTCTGCCCAATTGCTACGATGTAACCTACTCCACGCTGTCCTACAAGACGGACCTCAATCAGCACCAGTTCTCAGTGAGCCGCTACTAGTACGTGCCTTCTTAGTAGAAATATTTTATGAAGTCAGTTTAAAAAAAATCATATTTGACTCCTCTTAAAGCTCTCGTGAGCTGCTCAACAGCGATAGCTTTGTGCTGCGTGTCTATCTGGCCAAGCAGGTCGTTCCGGTCATTCGAAAGGTGACGGTCATGTCTTGGATCGGTCTTCTCTGTAAGTGCTCTGTAGTGTAAGATAACTAGATCTAACTAAACTCTCATCTATTTCAGCTGATCTTGGGGGCATTTTCAATCTCTGCCTGGGCCTGAGCATGATTTCCATTATTGAGTTCTTCTACTACTGCATATATCGCTTGTACATCAACTATCAGCTTCAGAAGGAGCAGTTGCCAAGGAAGGCGTGGCAATAGACCCAACTGCATCGTCCTTACATATTAATACGTTTTAATATAAAACTTGGATCTAAAAATTAATAAGTAAATGGATAATTTAAACTTTCTTCTTTTTCGTCTTCTGCGACTGGTTCGGTCCCTTGCGCTTTTGCTTGGCCTTTTCCACCTTAACAGTCTCTTCAACTTGTTCTCCAGATTCGTCTTCGCTGTCGCTGTTGGGGAGATTAGTAAGTGACATCAAAGATATTAAAATAAATGGACTCACCCCACAGTTGGCATCTGATCAAACATATACTCGTATTCATCGTCCACAGGGGCTGTCTTGATACTAGGCTTCTGTGGCACTATATTATCAATTTCCTCCTCCTCCTCTTCTTCAGCATCAGCCTCTGGTTTTTCCTCCTTTAGTTGGCGGATGAGGATCTTGGTAGCCTTCGATTTAACATAGCATTGATAGAGCAGCACTGTAGAGTCGGCGTCGTGGATGCGCACATAACGATCTAAGCTGGCAGAGCTCAAGAACCGTCCAGTGGGATCCAAATGCAGGTCGCTTATGCCACCCGTGAATCCCTTGTACGTGTGCACATGAGTTTTCATGCGTCGAGTGTCGAAGGCCTTCAGGGCGCCCATTGTGGTACCCGTGTAGATGTAGTTTCCTTGTGCCACCAGAGTCGCGAAGCTCATTCCGTGCTCCTCGCTGGCAAAGCAGGAGACGGGACGGCGCTGCTTGCGGGTGTCGTAGAGGCGAACATATCCGTGTCGGGAGCACGTCGCCAAAACACTGGGACCGTCCACAAAGCCAATGTCACTGTCCCAAACAGGGACCTCCAGCTGCAGATAATCATTTGGCAAGTTCTTCGAAGTAAAAATCTGCTTGCCGTCAGCGCTCAGGTCGTAGACTTTCAGATTATTTTGTCGCTCCTTGCCACCAGTGGCCACAATGTTCCTGGCCTGTGTGCACTGACGTAGATGATCCATTTGGGTACCAGTGGAGATAACAACAGGTGCCGTTTCTTCTTCGGGGTCTAGCTCCAGGCTTTGCAGCTCCCCATTCCCAATGCCGGCAATCAGTTTTTCGTTGAAGCGAGCCAGGCCAACAATGGGAGCTGCGCTGAAACTCACATGTCGCGCGGAGAACCCTCCTTCCCCAATGGAATGCAACTCGGCGATGTTTTTACCTCGGCCAAGCAGAATTTCTGTTCGCGACTCGTTGCCAAAAGCCAGAGAAGTGACCCGCGATTCCTTGTCCAAGTCCTTAAGATCACTGATGTTTCTCTGTCCGTGTGGGGTTTTCTCCGAGGCCGGCAGAAGGTCTACAAGAATCGTTTATAATCAATTTAATCATTGTCGAAACACCAAATTTTGTGACTTACGTTTGAAAGATCCCGTGTGTGTTCCCACGTAAATTTCATGTTGTGCTGTATAATTGGGGTGCTTAAGATTGGCCGTGGTCCACTTCATCTTAATAAATAGTTGTTTTTAGCTTACTTTACCAATTAAATTACAAAATCTCAACACAAAACAAATGCACGTGCGGGGATAAAATATCGATGGTTTTCGAATTGTGCGATACATCGATGGTTTATTCCGTGCAATTTCGAGTCGACATTTTCGACAGCCCTAAACACTAGTGCTGCAAAACGATTAAGCTAATCGGTATTTACCGATAAAATTTTTAATTATTGACCGGAACGCCAAAACATTTGAATCACGGCTACCATGCCGCATCACAATCCCTCTAGGACACGGACCGGACGATGGCAATATTGTCGAGTAGATCCTCTGGACCAGAAGAAGCTTGGCGGTGAGTATAATGTTGGTGGACCATGTCTTATCGGACCTTATCAGGGAAAACGTAAATCCGTTTTCAAAGAGCTCAAAGTGAAGTCGATTGGTAAGCAATCAATATCAATAATATATATTTTATATCATGTGCTTGCCCCGACCCTGTCACGGAATCCGATTCAGCAGGGCCTGAATAAAAGAACGCTGAGACAGGGAACTCGTAACAGCTTCGAATCGAAGCGAAGCGATGCAGGAAGTAACCATCTGCAGTTATTGGTCCTTTTTCGAGGTGCCTGAAATTTGAAATGAATTTTCGTAAGTGTCGCAGTGGGAGATGCAAGTAGGTCCTTAGACTCAACCGCTTCCATTTATAGCAAGCCTTCTTCTGCTGGCCCTTGTGGCAGGAATCGCAGCCTCGCACAGGATCGCTCAGCCGCCTGCAGCACCCGAAGAGTCACACAGCACCACCACGCTCCAGCCACCACCTCCGACATCCACAACCTCCACTACAACAAATGCTCCCGCTATAGCAACATCAACAACCTGTTTTACAACAACCTGTACCACACCAACAACAGCCTGTAACACAACACCCTGTACTACAAGAACAACAACCTGCGGCACAACACCCTATACCACAACAACAACATCCTTTCCTACAACAACAACCTGCAGCACAACACCCTATACCACAACAACAGCACCCTGTACTACAACAACAACCTGCGGCACAACACCATATACCACAACAAAACCCTGTACTACAACACCCTGTACTACAACAACAACACCCTGTACTACAACAACAACCTGCAGCACAACACCCTATACCACAACAACAACACCCTGTACTACAACAACAACCTGCGGCACAACACCCTATACCACAGCAACAACACCCTGTACTACAACAACAACCTGCAGCACAACACCCTATACCACAACAACAACACCCTGTACTACAACAACAACCTGCGGCACAACACCCTATACCACAACAAGAACACCCTGTACTACAGCTGCGAGCCTGATCGAGAAGCTCATTCCCAAGCGGATAGGATAGGTGTAACATGTATATCACCCTGTATCCTAACCAACAGTCATGCACTCAATATACAGCAATCTAATAAAGCTTATTTCAAAATTCCAGGATCTGCCTATAACATTTCCGCATCGAAATAGAGAACTAAACTGTACATCAAACAACATACATATGTATGTATGTACATATGTATGTCATGCCCAATACAGTACAACTGAAACAATAAGTACGTATAATATATAGAAATATACAATATGATACATATTTTTGTGTTTGTCGCACAACATTATCCCTGATAACGCCGGCGGCAATCCGATTGGCCTTGGGTCCTGAGGTTCTGATGTTGATGGACCTTGTCTAATCGGACCTTATCAGGGAAAAAGTAAAACTGAAGAAAAAGTAAATCGTTTTGAAAGAGCTCAAAATGAAGTTCAACGAGTGGCTAGCAATTTATATCATTTATAGGTTTTATATAATGTGCTTGCCTCGACATAATTCACCTGGGTCTGTACCCCACACCACTCATTGCTTATGCATTTCGGCACGAGCGGGAATGGCGAAACTAAAATGATAATCATACATAGTAGATATGCTTTGTTTCTTCGTCTCGCATTCGATTCCAAAGTGCTGATTGGTGATTGGTGTTATCGACAAAGAATATCATTAGATATCAAAGAATACACATTACAGGGGGAAGCTTGCTAGAATTTCATACTTCCGCTGATCGCGTAGAAAGTGTCAGCCCGACTGTCAGTCAGTGCCAAATCACATAATTGCACGGTGCCACACTGGACTGCTCCGAAGTCAAAGTCCCCAAATCGCTTAAGTATCTCGCGGGCATCGAAGGGGTATGCGATAGTGATTTTTCAGCACGACCATATGCAGCTTTTTAGCCGATGCGGAAAGGAGTTGCTTGGAAATGTGACAGGCATCGGTCAACGAACGTCTGCAACTCAGGAGCCTCAATGCAGCCGTACCCAACACGGGCGGAGCTTGGATCATCGTCACTGATGTCCAGACCCTGGACTTTGATCTGGAATGGAGTAGTTAGATCTGGCAGGATGGAGCGACAGGATTCGCAGCAGCACATAGGAACCCAATGTTATTTGGTTATATATGAAGAGGTCATCATCGATGCCCTGAAGCTGAGCCTCCAAAATGCTTTTCTGGGGAGTAAATACACAATAAATGGCTGACCTGGTGTCCTATCCATTCGTTATTACCTTAAGTTCCCAAAACGCGATTCTGAACTTCGCCAAAGTTCAATGGAACAACCAGCAAATGTGTTGGGATCTTCCTGCGAATGGGGCCAACAAGGGAGCGTATCTGGCGCAACGCAGCACACACCTGATTGCGCACCTTGGCCTAGATGGTCACATTTGAAGACTCCTCGTGCTGACGTGAAAAGTAAATTTTTGATTGTGTTTCTTCCTCGATGCGACGTTTGGTCGATCCCTTGGGGCCAATCAGCCTCCCATAGAATGATCTGCAAGGCAATTAATTCGAATGATATATATATAGATATATAAATATTAATTTATCCGGTATCTTCGCGATGGTACAGACAGCTCTATCTCCATATCTTTCACAGGCAACCGACCTACTTACTGGGACACATGGAATGAAAGTTTAAAACTGCCAGAAACCATTTCTTCTAAATTGTCGGCGCCCGCGTCCGCTTCGTCGGGCGCGAAGAAAAAAACCGGCCTCTTAATTGTAGGGAAAACCGTGAATCAGACCAAAAACCAGGGTGGCAAAACCACAGATGGTATCGATGGTTGGTGAATTGTGCAATGAATCGATTTATTTTTCGACCAGTGCTGAAAAATAGATCGACTTAAAACAGCTGCTGCATTTGAAAATAAACAATGTGAATTTGTTTTATGTAATTTGAACGCATGGCTCTCACAAAAGTCTACGATGCCACGACAGTTTTCAGGCACTTAAATGGCGTTTTAAATGTATACAAACCCGCCGGCATGAAAGTAGGACACGTGCGCAGTGCCGTTCTCAGCAACATTTGCAAGGGTTAGTGGAGCAATCTTTAAATATTCCTAACATAACATTTCCTATTGTCCTTAAGGTCTCAACGAACTGAAGCAGCGGGATCCACGCAGGCTTCCGGAAAACAGACCGCTGCTGGGCACGGGTACCGCCGCCGACAGTGTCCTCCACAATATAGCCACGAGCACGGATCTCTCTGACGATGTGCTGTCCACTGGACCTCGCTACATGCCGGAAGATATACGCTGTGCCGCAGTGGCTAGTCTGGGACAACACACAAGCGGTGTTTTGCGTAAATTATTCACTTTCATAAGAAGCAAAGTAAAGCAATCTAATAATTGCCATGCTATTCATTAGTTTTAGGCATCAACAAGGGACTGCGGCAATCGAGTCGCATACAGAAGAACCGGCCAGTGCGAGTGTACCACATTACTGGTCGTATGGGCACTGCCACGGAGAATCACCTGCCAGACACCCACATCACAGCGCGATCCAACCATAAACATGTTTCGGCGGAAAGAATCAGTGGCCTGGCTGCCTCAATGCAGGCCTCGCATCAGAGAAAGATGTACGAGCTGTGCGGCGTCGACCTCCAAACCCAAGCGGCCTACGAGCTAGCTTGTAAAGGCCTCATTCGCCCGGCCGACAATAGCCTGCCTGTCATCTATGGAATCAAGCTAATTCATTTCGAACGCCCGTACTTCACTTTGGAGCTGCATTCCATCAATGAGACGCAGGAGTACTTGGCCGCCCTGGTGCATGACATGGCGCTGGAGCTGCGTACAGTGGCCCATTGCAGTCAGCTACGTTGCATCCGCCACTCCCACTTTGATGTCACTGACAGCTTACTGAGGCATGGCTGGCATCTGCCGGGGATCGTGAAGAACCTGCGCCAGCAGCGGGAGATTCTGCGGGAACATCCGCAGATGTTGGAGCAAGAGCGCGTAGAGTTGCATGCGTGAAGATAGATAAGATTGCAAGCTGTAGATTAACTGAATCATAAAGTATGTTTTATTTGGAAAACTAGTCAATTTTCTGCTGCTGGTATTTGATGGTCAGCATTAGTTTCTCCCACTCAAAGATCTCCGTCTGAAGCTTGTCGTTCAGCTTCTTACCTGCCACCGAATCGAGTTCCTTTTGCAGCACCTGCTGAGCCTCTTTGAGTCGGAGCAGAGCGTCTTCTAGCAGCTTAGAAGCCTCTGCGGGATTCCTGCGCGCCTGTTCCTCCAGGGTGTGGGCGATCTCAACCAGAATAACAGTCAGATAGATGGCAAGCTTAATGCTGTAGGGATCCAGGCGACGACAGACGTTGTACAGGTCATCACACAAGCGCAACTTGCGCTCCAGTATTCCATCACTGAGCGAGCTCAGCTCAAGACCATTTTCATTGCCATATAGCTGAATAAGCGTGTGCTTCAGGTTGAACATGTGAAAGTGATTTGGATGCAGCATCTGCGTGAGGCGGGCCAAAGTTAGCTCAATCTCACTGGCCGATGGTCGTCCGGCCAGCATCTTATCCACCTGCTCCGTCATATGGGTCTGAAGCTCGGTAACGTATGCCGTGTCCATGGCCATGGGGCAAGCGTCGCATTTCCACTGACTTTGCTCGTCGACTGGATCTAGGGGGAGTTGCTTGCCCCCACAGGATTTGTTCACATCTCCCAGGCAAGTCAACGCACTCACATAGCTGCCAAATTCCGTGGGATCCAAGCAGCGTTCGCAGCCACATTTGAAATGTTTGGTCAGACGCAGATGATGCTGGCGCAAATGAGTGCCCCATAGGATGTTTGTGTAGGTAATCCTCAAATGATCGCCCTTCTTCAGGTCGCCGCCCGCCCTAACCTCGATCTGCATGGTAGTTCCGTCAAATTGGAAATAGCAGTTGGGCTGGCAGGCGTGCTCCATCATGCACGCCTGCCGGAACAGTCCGCTCAGCTCGATGCCCGTGGGCAACTCCACAACCATGTAGTTAGTCTCAATGATGCCACACAGCCGATGGAGCAGTTCCGGTTCGCAGTGTTCAAGGACATCCTTCTTGCTCTGCTCGAGCCGCTGCAGAAAGCGTTGGCTCAAGTAGCTCACAATTCCATCTTCCGCCTCCTGGTGCAGCTCAGTGCCCTTCCGTTCCTCCTCGTGCGACTGCATCTCGAGCAGATCGGTCCACTTCTTCGGATCTTTGCGCTGCAGCAGCAGACACTTCAGCACAAGGAGTGCATCTCCCCTGTAAAAATCGTTCAGCCCCCGGGTGTCGGCTCTCGCAGACGGACCCGGTCCCAAGCTCAAAACGCTGCACTCCAGGGCCTCATGCTCGCAAGAAGCACTGCAAACTGGCCAACGACAACTGTGGGATATGTTGGTGAAAATAAGATGAAAACGCTCTGGCGGTGTGTACTCACTTGCGACACAAATGTTTGCCCAGGCGACAGGGCGTGTAGCAGCCCACGCATGGCACGGTCGTGGACGACTTCTCCGCCTCCGACATGTACCACTTTGGCCCGACCACCAGCGGCTCCTCCACGAAAATTATCTGATTGGCCTTGATGTCCTGTGTGGCAACCAAAAAGCGACCCAGCACGTCATCCTTCTCCTCGCGGATCGGCTTGCAGCAGCGCTTGTGTTCCGGCCAGTGTTGCTTCTGGTGCTCCTTGTCGCAATACCGCACAATTTTACAGCGAGTACAAGTCTGGGAGGCCGCAACTCCGCATACGGCACAGTCCATGCTCCGCATGCTCGATATATGTTGTCTGTAGACGCGGAATATGATTCCCAAACTAAACTGTCGAAATTGTTACGTTGGCAGCGATTCGGTTGATTTTGTACGCCACTGGCTGAGATTTGTGCTTATTTTTAGCGCGCTTCCCCAAACAAGAGCAAAAGCGTTGCCATACTCACGCAATAATTACACTCCGCTCTCTCTCTCTCTCTCTTCAGAGAGGACAAAAATCTAATTTCTCCAGTATGGGGGAATATGTATAAGATTTGTGGGGGAAGTGGATATGTGTAACACCCAGAAGAAAACGTTTCGGACCCCATTACAAAATATATTGTTTTCTTATGATTGATATTTTCATCTTCCCTTCTGCACAATGAGCTTCCCGGCGGGCATTCAAACGTACTGGCTTACTGGACATGCACCAACTTCATCTCACTGGGATAGGTGGCCGCTGTGGGTGCAAATACTACGAACCAAATATTTCATCATATTTAAGACTCTTAATGAAAATTTCGAAGAAACCGACATAATTTTTAAGTAAACATTAAATGTTTACATCTGATGCCAGCTTTCTTTCGCAGGCAGTTGGCGCAGATCTTGTGGAGTGTCTGCGGTCCTTGGTGCTCGAGTGATTTCCAGATTGGCAAAACGCTAGTCAACTTGCGAGAGAATTGGTAGCCATGCTTTGAGACCGGGTGCGATACATCCCATTCCCTCACATTTCACTGCGACGTCGGTTCTTGCAACTGTGACTCTTAGGGTACATGCACAGAATTGCATCATTATTCGAAAACGGAGTTAAGGTCTTCTAATCCTCATCCAAGATCATTCGCCTTGAACGACCCACCGCTGCATCATCAATCGGTGCAATTTTTAGACCCGACCCAATTAATGGTTGTCCTCGTAGAGAATTCTGGTTTTCTTGAACTTTATTTTGCTGTTTTATCCGTCGCTGATTACAAAATTGAACCGTACAAAACATTCGGCAATTGGAAACAGATAAAGTTAGAATTACTATAGCACGTAGGTTGCATTATGAGGGGACTTGATCAATGCAGTCATAATATATAGTAAATACAATTGATTTAGATTTGATTGTACACTAGTAGCTCTATAGTCTAGTACGGCTCTTGTGGCGCGTCCAAGTCCCGGTAGTGTGATCTGTGTGATCGATAATCAAAACCACCGGGTCTGTAAGCAACGAGAATGAACGAGAAGGAATTTAGATATTGTGTTGAATATTACATGTTTATTTATTTAGTATATAGATTCGCCCTTTCGGCAACGTCATCTCTGAACGCGATTATATTTATAGTTATAGTCGGTTTCTAAATACAATTGGCAAATCATTGTAAACGAAAACAGATATCGGTATTCATATATAAATCAGCTTTATAATATATGTATATGTGATTGATTGTTCTTTCTTGCTAGAATTTTTTGAATCGAATGTTGGGTCGAAACAGGATCATTTGATCAGATCAGATTTCATTTACATTGCTGTGTAATATTTTTGCATGTGTGTACTGGTATTGGGCTAATCAACTAGTCAAATATATCGGAATTTGAGGGCGCATCCAAATCATGGTAACCGACAAGCCGGCGGTGGTGTTCCAAAGGCAATTCCCTGCAAAAAATTTGCGACACAAGAAGATTGTGACAAATTTCGTTTTAGACCAACAGAAACAACAAAATATAGGAAACAAAGACGTAAAAGAGGGCGATCTAATCATATCTGAGAGGTGACTAAAGACTGAACAGACGCTGTGTGGCGGCCGCTTCAAGCTGGCCATTCCGCAGCTCGGTTCAATCATGTTTCAAGTGTCATCTTCATGCTACCACCGAGCATAAAGGTATATTTTGAAAATGGAGCAAGGAGAAAGTGTAGTACGTTTAACGTTTAAATGCTGGAAGAGGGCAACTTCTCATGGATAATAGTTGAGAAAACAAATCTCATAAGAAACTCCGTTAGGAGAGTGAATGTGGATCGAATGAGAACCGAAGCCATTCCAAGTTATAACGCGCTTAGACTAAAAGTAGAGTTAAGGCAAGCGAGTGGCTCAAGTACTAACCTGCGTGCAGGTGGGAAATGGCGTCCACCACGGCCACCCCCCATCATGTGGCCACCAAAGCTATACGGCATCCCAGACATTGGGGTATACATCGGCGGACGGTATCTGGAAAAAGAAATGCACATTTATTCCGCGATCGAGGAATTTGAATATGATTGCGTTGCACTCACCCTCCGGGCCCACGAACAGACTCCGTTTCAGGGCGCTTGACGCTGCCGGGGTGCTCTGGCAACTGTGGACGCTTCGGGTCGCGTAGATAGTTGTTGAAATATTGCACCTCCTTGCGGACCTCATCAACCTTCTCCTCATGCTTGTTGAAAATGTGCTTGCGGATAAATTCGGGTCCCTTGAACTTCTTTCCCGAAAGCGGACATAGCCATTTGTCCTTGGCCAGCTCCTGAGTGTTGGCCTGCACAAACTTCTCCACCTCGGTGTCGGCGTTTTTGGCACCGAGATCCTTGATCTGATCTTCGCTGAGCAGCGCGGTTTTGGTCAGAAATTGCAGAAGCTTGCCCTCGTAGGACTTGATGTATTCATTGAGCTCGTTGCTGGTGACACGAGAGGGAGCTGGGCCACGGGCGTGGATGATGCCACAGCGATTGGGCATCTCGTCTTCGTAGGGATACTCGCAATGGTTGTAGTAGTCCACCGAGTGGACAATCCGTAGGTACAGCACTAGACGATCCAATACCGACAGCAACTGCTCGTCCCGTTCGATGGGCTCGCCCTCACCGTCCTTTCGGTCGCCGGAGAGGCCCAATAGCTCCTCCTCCTCGGCGGAAGCCTCTTCGATGAGGTAGTCGGTGATATTCTGAAGCACTGGATTCTTAGAATTGAAACCATAGCTGGAGCCGCTTCCATTGGCAGCCGTTGCCTCCGAATCGCTGGCAGGCGAGGGCTTGCTAAGGGGACCTTCGGACCACAGCTTAAATTTCTCATCCAGATTCATGACGATCCGAGCGCACAACTTGATATCTGATCGCACCACCTGTTTGTGGGCAGTGATGCCGTTGGCTGGACGCACTCGCCGACTCAAGTCGCGATTCACAATGGCCCCCATTTCGCAGTCGCGCAATCGCTGATTGTTCAAGCTCCAGCAAATCTCTTTGATGTTGACATCGCGTGTGAATGTAATCCAGCCGCGACGGTACCAGCGACGCTCCACCAAGGGATCTGCTATGGCCGTTCTCAAATACCCGCTGAAGCGGCTGCAAAGGGCCTCGATCTCGGCCTTGGTTATGGACGGAGCCAGGTTTCGTAGGAAAATCGATGAAGTGCGGTGCATGTCTCGCGGAGGATTCACTTTGTCCAGGTCAATGGTTACTGGTTTCACCTCACCTTGGGCATCCCCAGTCGCTGGCTCAGCAGCACTTTCCACTTTGGCCGCATCACCATTTTCCTGTTTTTTCTCATCATCAGATTTTGGCGATTTTTCTGCCTGCTTGCCGTCCTCCTTAGCTTCACCCTCGACCTCAGGATCAGCAGCGGACTTCTCTGGGGATATTTCTTCTTTGGGACTAACTGATCCCAGCTTTGCCTTAGCTGCTTCAGCCTGATCCTTCTCAGCCTCCGCTTTCTGTTCGGCCCTCAGGCCATCCTCAACATCATATTTGGCCTTAAGCTTCTCGTCGTCCTCCTCCTCCTCTTCGGAGGAGCTGGAGCTAGATTCAGATTCAGATGAGGAGCTCTCCTCGTCGCTGCTGCTGTTTCGCTTGCGCTTCTTGATCTTCTTTTTCTTTTCCTTCTTCTGCTTCTGCTTGATCTCCGGAATGGGCTCGCTTTCTTTTGGCTCTTCCTCCTCTGGTTTTTTGGGAGGCGCATCTTCAACTTCAGCGTCATCCCAGTTCTCATCGTCCGAGTTAACAGGCTTTAAAGCAATTCGCTGAGGCGAAACAATCAGTGGCAGTTCATCTTCCTCCTTCTCTTTCTTGGGACTCTTGGGTGTATTTTCGACCACCGTGGTTGGATCAACTGACTCCGGCTTCCGGTCGAAGACTAACGCCTCCTTAGGCTTTTCATCGAGAACCTTGAGATCCTCATCGGTGCCGCCTTCCAGCTTGATAACACAGGTGTCCAAGACCCTGATCAAAGCATCGCCATGGGAGGAGTCTACCTTGACGCTGCCAATGGTGCCATTTTCTAGGAGTTCCACAAACACATCTGTGCGTCTCTGCAAGGATTTGTAGGGAGAGTGGTCTTAAAAAAACTGGTCTCAAAATGATTCTCGTAGATAAGATAATAGTACCCGCAAAAATCCGCGCTGCTCCTCGCTGCGGTTCACACTGTCCTCGGGATGGTATTTGTTCTTGAACCTATGGGAAGACAAAAGATTTTTCAAGTGAGCATTTGGTGGGGTAAGTAGAATCATTCCAGACGGTAAAAAGAAAAAATTCTGCGCGGCAGTCGAATTTCTACATTTCGCTTATCCTTTTCCGGCTGTTGGCAATAGGTTTAGTAAATGATTTACTGGGTTTAGATAGCGATTGTTTTTGTTTTGTTTTTGTTATTACCCAAAGTCTTACCTTTGATGGCTTTGCGCTTTCGTTATTTATAGGAATGTGATATATGGTTATTTTGGGCTTTCGCTCAACAATCGAATTGAAATAAATCGCGGTTTCAAAATATAAACACACCACGGCATTGCTCGCCGGGTAATTAAGACTTTAAGTTCAAGTTATATCAGTGATATCAGACAGCAGCTCTGCAAAAGCGGCGCAGATGCTCTCAGATAGGACTCTGTCTCACAAACCCAATAAGCTGCAGAGAAAAACTTAATAATATACAAACAGTTATGATTTGAGTGGCGTGGCGCACAAGGAAACAGGCAAATAAGAGAAACAACGCAAGGGATTGCATAGGTGGGTGGGTATAGATGGGGATGGTAGAAATAGATCAACCAAATGAAAAGGAGAGTGCACTGCATCAGCATTGGCATCGCCGTTGGGTGCTCACTCGTCGCAGAAGTCCAGGCAGTGGGCTAGATACTAACCATTCCTCGTCCTTGTGGGCAACAAAGAACTCGTTCAGCTGCTGGCGCTTGAAGTCCGTCTTGTACTCCGTGTACTTGCGCATCACCTCGGAGTCGGAGATGTTCTCGTCCTGGGTGTCAAGGAACTGTTTCAAGTTCAGCATCGCCGGCTGAGTCAGCGTGTCTCCCCCGATTATTGGCAGCTCTCGCACTGGCGGCGGGTGGCTGGCGTGGTGGTACGCCGAGTGCATGGACTGATAGTGATCGGTCCATGCCTGCATCAGATAGGGGTCATAGCCTGCAATTATGAAACGGTAGCAAATAGCAACATATACTTTCGTTAATTTTTGCAGGCGAACCTACCACCATATCGAGGACCTGGGCGCCCATCTCCGTCACCCCAGTCAGAGCGCATACGTTTCGGTGGGGGCATGTCGCGAACGGGAGAGCCGTACCGTGCCCGTGGACCCGGGCCACGGTAATCGCTGTAATCGGGTCGATGACGCGGTGCTCCGCCTCCTCCAGCACCTCCACCCCGGAAGGGATTGCTGTAATATGGAGAAGAGCAGTTTAGTGGTGGGCCTTTGCTGGCGGACAGGCCACTTACCGCTCCGACCATTCGTCCCGGCCTCCTCCAGCACCACCTATGGGGCGACGCTCGTCTCGGCGCTCAGTCCGATAGCTCTCGCGTTCTCCACGAAACTTGTCGCGCCGCTTGCGGTCGTACTCATCATCCGAATCAGCCATTGGTGGTTGTCTGAAATCAGGAATGGATGCGGATTGTAGTGAAAGTGCTTCCGCCATAACCTCAATTTTCTTCCACTTTCATTCACTTGTACCAACAAATTAAAAAAGTTCTTCAGTTTCTACACATAAAATCACTTCGTCTGGTTTTTCAGTAAGCATTTTTAGGTATTTATTTACTTGGTTTATGCATAAAAGAATACACAAGCCGCCATCTTGCCGCTTGGCAGAAAACCAAATCGCTTACGTGTTTTGTTTCGCCAAGTCCGCGATTTCTTTAGGTGGAGAGTTGCACTAACTTGATTCCTTTTTAATTGCCGTTTTGTCATCAGAGAAAATACACCTACCTTATTTAAATAATTTTAATTTAAATTTAAATTTAATTTTTTTCGCAGAGCCCTGCGCGTCAGTGTGACCGTAGATCAAGCTTAGCCCACTTAGGCCCCCAGTATTTAAACAGTTCAACGACTTGAGGTACATGGCGGAAAATATTACTGAATGCACATTTTTCTTGTAGATCCATGCCATCTTTCTTCTAAGCTTAAAAACACACGAATTCTTTCACCTGAACTGCGCTAAAAGGTTTTTTTTCATTTTCGGTGATATATTAAAAAAACCCCTGGTCTATAATGGGTTAATCGATCTCCGGTAAGGCTTGGAAGTTTTTGTTTTTGATATTCCGTCGAATATTACTAGCTAGATAGAACCCTCGGCGCTGCCCGCATAATGTCATGGCATTGAGAGATTAATTTTCAACAAGATATGTTAAGTTTAATTACTCCCTTTTATTTAATTTCTTCCAAAAAAGGTTTAAGCAAATATACATAGTCAAAGCACAAACTTAGTACTGAATGGAATGTTACGTTATTGTTGCTGGACAACCGGTACCTGCTACGAGTATGGACATATGTATTTATACCATATTTCATTTAATTAACATTAAAATTCTGTTTTTTGAAAGATGAGTAATGACTTTGTCTCAAATTTACATGTCTTAGACCTATTTATATAGATATACAGATCCCGATACCTACTCTTGGTCCCTGTCAGAAAAACAACTAGCTGCAAAATATATTTTAAATAGCCTTAAATGAAAAATTGACTAGTTTCTGCATATATTGACGTCTTAGATGACAAACATTTTCTCATTTTTCTCAATATCCTTTTTCCAAGTACTAGTACTAGTACTGTACTAGTATAAAAGTACGTTACATTTTAAATCGAATTTGATTTTCCACACAGCCTTAAAATTAAACAATTTCCACACTTAAATGCTCATTTGTTATTTATTATAGGTATGATAGCTAATAATGTTTAAATAATTTGTTCGGTTATTTTGTTCGCTTGCAGCTCTTCAGCTCTTCTCTAAAATTTAGAGGTAGGGTGCGGCCTGTTCTTCGATCCATTCAATGTGTGAAGTGATACTAGTGTACACTCCGGGAAATCCTTCCCGGCCACAGCCAACACCCCACGAAACGATGCCCACCAAGACACCATCCACAGCCAATGGACCACCGGAGTCACCATTGCAGGAGTCCTTTCCACCCTCCAAGTAGCCGGCACATAGCATTTCCTCGGTGATAGTGTAATCCTTGGTCAGATATTGGTCGCCGCATGCACTTCGGTCGACAATTTCTAGCTCCACGGCACGCAACAAGGCGGGCAACGCCTCGTCCTCCTCGGTACGCTTGCCCCATCCGCTGACAACGGCATGTGCTCCCGATGGTGGGGCCTCCACTGCCAAGGGTATGGGCTGCACGAGGCCCGAGTACTCCAGTGGCTCTCGGGTTATGATCAAGCCAATGTCGTTCACATAGGTCTTCTTGTTGTAGCCACTGTGATAGATCAGTTTGCTGACCTTCACGCCCATCTCATCCAGATCGGCAATCGAGTTCAGTCCTGACACGATGCGAATGTACGAAGCGTAACGTCCCTTGATGCAGTGGGCGGCAGTTAGCACCACATTGGGCGCGTAGATGCTGCCGCCGCAGATGTGGAGCAGCATGTACGTCTCCAGGCGAACCGACACCTGGTAGGGGAAGTCCGAAATGTCCGCCAGGTCCCCACCTACGATGTGGGTGCTGACAGAGGCGGATCGGCTGAGGGCTACAAGGGACAGCAGGCCCACAAGAATAAGTCCCAAGCGCACCGACATTTTGCACAGTTTAAAGCAATAAAATCGTTCGACTCGCGGGTTTTATATAGACGTCTACCTTCTTCTTATCGCAGGCCAAAACCGGGAATATCGCGATCATCCTCCGATAGCAATTTTGGATTTCCATAAAATGTAGCTTCGATATAGTAAAGTTTATAGGACCCACAGCCACATGTGTGTTTTATATCCATTATAAACAGCGCTGTGCTGGTCGGTAGTCTTCTAAAGACCTTTCTACAATAAGCCAAAACAATGATATGGGAAGGAGCCCAAAGGGGATTATCAGCGAACTTTTTGCTTGAGTCACGGCCCTATTTTTTTCTTCATCGCACTTTACCCTGGCGCTGACGAAGATGTCTGGGTCTGCGCTAGCCTTGTAATCTTTGGTGGTGAAATCGGTACACTACACCCTGGAACAGATAAGAGGCGAGCGACTAGCCTAAGCAGAGATTTAAATAATATTAACTTAGTAACGTGGAAAGCAACACAAGAGGCGATAGTCCATCACGGCGGTAATCATAATAGTTGTATGATTCAAAGAAAACAATTGAAAAAAGGGTAGCGGAGCGGATTTCAAAAACGATTATTACGAATGTGAAATTACTGTTCATTTTTCTTTGAAGAAATGGACAAGAAGCTAGAATATGCTTTGTTTAGATACGAGTTTATAATAGAATTATTTGCCTAAAATGGTAGCACAAATGAATTGTTCAAATTGGTTTTTCGCGGAAATGATTCCCGAATATTTATCTGGTTGGGCATTTATAATGACGTTAAAAGCTCAAAGCTTAATGCTATGCAAATTCTTACGAATATGTAAATAAAATTAATTGATTTAACTACTAGGCAGCTAGAACTGGCAGGGAACCCTTACGGAGGCTGTGCTTGCGACTGTGCTAGAGCCCTAAGTGCTTTTTAGCGACACGCGACTCACCTTTCCCATTAGCTTGAGGGTCTACGTCTACTCCTTATATCCCATATTGTGTAATATTGGTATGCAGTAAATTGGCAAAAACCAGCTCTGAAGAGTCGCTGAAATATGTATCATAGGGATATGTTGGGATGTGTTTGTTCCCATAAATATGGCTATTGTATCGGGCCATATCAAGAGAAAACAAAGATTGAAAAAATGCTTTATTGATTGCATGCCACTTGACTAACTCGCAGCCAGCATTATTTCCACTTCTAGCTACTTAGCACTTCAAGAGCCGACTAGTTAGCAATTACTACCTACAATATTTGCCCCCTCCCGGCTCACGTACGAGCACGCCATTGAAGGTACGACTACGAGTATTTTGTGCGTCTTTTTTCGGCACAGTGCGGTGTGTGATGTGTACTCGAAAGCCGAGCTTGATCGAACCAAATCGGTTATAAGTAGAAGCCGTCCCGCTGGAGATCCCGCATTTGAAGCTCAACTGTCGACAGCTGTGACGGAATACATAATAAAGCCCCAAAAAAGCCAATTACCGAAATCGTGTGACACGGAGTGTCGGCGGCAAGGACTCTACCAAAAGAGATCACTTCTATGTGATTCATATGATTCACGTGTTGAAGAAAATTGAGTAAAAGAACTTGAAAAGGAAGTGATTAAAATGTTTGTGGAAAAAGTGGTGAGTGAAATAAATCGAAAGTACTTCAAGAAACTATGGACTATCTCATCGTGATCTCCCACCTTCTGCCCTTCCCAACTTGTATTGCTTTTAAATGGAATTCTTTTTGAGGTGGTGGACCCATAACAAGGCCTATACTTGGCTTGTATCTGAGGCTGGGTCTCGTTTCAGAGACGATTATGATAATTTATGAAATTAGTGAGAAATAATCATGATGTGCATTTATTAGTGATCAAGTGCCAAATGTTTAGACAAACAAGGGAGCTCGGTTCTGCACACAGCTTCGCCTGGATACGTCGATTCGGATCTTACCGTGCCCAAAAAAGCACCAAAAAAGCACTCAAAAAAGCAAAAAAAAAAAAAGAAGCGGCAATGCTTCATTGGGCGGGTAAATAATTTCTAAGAAGATCGAATAGAGATTTCGGTTCCGCTGGTGTGATGTGATGCGGTGTGGGAGCGCGTTAGCGGACGTTACCCTTGAAAGCTTCTAATTGTTTTGTATCTAATTTAAATCCTAAGATGAAACCATGGCTTCCTTTTGGGTCCCATCAGTTGGCCTCGAAGAAAACCTCGACGAATCCTACCATTTCAGTCTCCTATTCCTACTGGAGATATCACAAATATTTTGACTGAGAATTTAAAATGAAAAATGTGGCATCTTACTTTTGTAATCGTTGAGGGCCTTAAATCATGATATCATTGACTGGGCAGACAACTTTCTATTTCCCTGGCGCCAAATGGTGCGGGTTGCCTTTTATGTTGGATCGTTGGCTTTAAGTCCATCTGAAGGATGATCAAGTCTCAAACGGTTGCTCGAAGGTATCATCAAATATTTGCCTACTCTTTGGTTTCCTAAGATTTTCCTATTTCTGTGCGATACAGGACTCAAATATGTGCTAAATACCTTGATTTTGTAAACTGTTTTTGAATTGTTTTTCAAAAACAATCAACATAGCGTTGATTAGCGATAAAAGTCAGTCTACGAATGTTGTGCAGTTGGCCATGAAACCTCACCGATATGTTGGCCCAAAGCCATTAAGAGGCGGCTCCGTTTACGGATATGTACGAGTATGTCCCATTGTTGAAGCCCAGAACTGAACAAAGCTCTTGGGAGGACGGATAGGGTGACAGCAAGATGCGAGGGAGGTGTTTCCGATTGTGTAGCATGTGGGAAAAAGCCAACAATACTTGTCCCTGCCTGGTGATCATCATTAGCATCTGTCATATTTTTGGCCAGCAACTGACTGGTTATTGTTTTGGCCGCCACCGCTAATCGTAACCTGTTGCACCACTGACACAAATAAGTCCCAAAAAACACACACAAAGCCGAACCAGACCACGTACTGCGCTGAGGGTGGATGAGAGAGCGAGAGTTTGAGATACAAATGTACTCGTATCTGTAGGCTGCCTTGGAGTGATTTAATCAATCTTAAATGCTGCACGTACTTTGGGTATATGCCAGCGGTCTCACCATCCCATCACATAGTATCGCCCATACGCCATGTTGTCTTAATCAATTTACACCGTGCTTAGATACATAACTTGTACTTTCGTTGCGCTCACGATTACGATTGCAAGTGCGAGTGTGTGTGTGTATTTGAAAACTACTTGCGACACGAGGCAAGGGCATCTGCCATAAGTCCAGCAGTCCACCAGTTAATTTGATTCCAAATATTCCAAATAGTTTGAGCACCGCGCTGAACTGAGTTTTAAGGGCCAATTTTCGATGCCTGGGGGTTAAGCAAACACTAGAAAATGGCAGCCCGAGAGGCAAACCAAACACGATAATATTGACAGATCTATGCAATTTTACACTCGAATGACTGTATCCACAGCTAGAACGCGCCACCAGAACGGAGCTATGCTCGATCCTGGCCCTGCTGGTCATCAGTCTGAGCATCTACTTGTTCTATGCCCATCTGGACACGTACCTGAGATCGGTCATACTGTCGCTGCGGCTGTCGGGTCCTCCAACGCTGCCCATTCTGGGCAATTGCCTGCTCATCAAGGATAAGGACTGTAAGATTCAACTATGAAATATTATAGTTATTCCCTCTGATTGATAGTTTGCTCCCTAGTGATGAGAAATCAAGCAGCCAAGGCCTTTGATTTGTATGGATCCCTTGTGCGGATCTGGGTGCTCTTTTTCCCCTTCTTTGTGGTCCTGCAGCCAGAGGATCTGCAGGTCATACTGTCCTCGCAGAAGCACACCAATAAAGTCTTCATCTACCAGCTGATGCACAATTTTCTGGGGGATGGCCTAATCACCAGCAGCGGCCTTAAGTGGAGCACCCACCGCAGGCTCATCCAACCGGCATTCCACCTCAGCCTGCTGGAGAAGTTCATTGGGACCTTTGTGGACGCCTCGCAGTCGCTGTACGAGTCGGTCGGTGCTTCCGCCGTAGGCACTGACATCAACATCGTCAGCATCGTGAACAACTGTGTGGTGGACATCTTAAATGGTGAGTCTTCCATTCCAGTTCCTTTGCGTTTTGTCCACTGATTCACTCAAACTTATACAGAGGCCGTTTTGGGTGTGCCCATCAAAAAGAAGGGCTTGGACCTGGTCAAAATCGATGAGTCTCCATTTCGGCAGGGCAAACTCATGATACCCACCCGGTTCTCACATCCCTGGCTTCTGTTTGATGGCATTTACCACTGGACGAAGTTGGCCAACGATGAGCTCAATCAGAAAAAGCGCCTCCACGACTTCACCCGCCAGATGATCAAGATTCGTCGCGAGATTCTGGCCAACACCGGCAACAACAACGCCGAGCGGAAGTGTCTGCTGGACTACATGATCGAGATCTCGGAGAGCAATCCCGACTTCACCGAGCAGGACATCGTCAACGAGGCCTGCACTTTCATGCTGGCCGGGCAGGACTCTGTGGGCGGAGCCGTGGCCTTCACCATCTTCCTGCTGGCCCAGAATGCCGAGTGCCAGGAACAGTGCCACGAGGAGCTGGAGCGCATCTTCGACTACAGCGATCGGGCGCCCACCATGAGTGATCTGCGGGAGATGCGCTACCTGGAGATGTGCATAAAGGAGGCCCTGCGCCTCTACCCCACAGTGCCACTAATTGCCCGCAAGCTGGGCGAGGAGGTGCGTCTGAGCGACCACACTCTGCCCGCGGGTAGCAATATTTTCATCTGCCCCTATGCCACCCACCGCCTGAACAACATCTACCCCGAGCCGGAGAAATTCAACCCGGAGCGTTTTTCTCCAGAGAACTCTAAGGACCGCCACCCGTACGCCTTCATTCCGTTCAGCGCCGGGCCGCGCTACTGCATTGGCAATCGGTTCGCCATCATGGAGATGAAGACCATTGTCTCGCGACTGCTGCGCAGCTTCCAGCTGCTGCCGGTGGCCGGCAAGACCACCTTCGATGTCTCTTACCGCATCACTCTGCGTGCCTCCGGCGGTCTGTGGGTGCGCCTGAAGCCCCGCGATCATCCCATCTCGCAGACCCGCGACAGCGATTGCTTCGGACTGTAGCCTGTAGGTTATAGAGTACAAGGTGCTAACTCTTCGTTACAGTAACTTTAATTAGTATGGTAAATAAGTATGTATATAAATCGATACAATAATTTAAATATTTAGCTTCCTCTAGCCTAAGTACAGTGCCTACCCCCGTTTAGGGGGAGTGCCTGATCTGATCAGAGATGTGGATGTGGATTATAATGTGTTTATGGTGTGGCTGTGTCTGTGGCTGGGGTGTGAGGTGAGGGCGATGGTGTTCTAACCCCGTGTTCGCTATCGCAATCGCAATTGCATTCGCATTCATATTCATATTCATATTTATATTCGAGTGTTCGTAGATTTTCTGCTGGGTTTTGTCTGAACAAATTATTTCTGCAATAATAAAGTTATGTTCGTCGGCGTTTATGCGACATAAATCTAGGACGTGATATGTTTCGTTTCGTTGAATCTATTGATGAGACTTCGCGCACGTGACTCTCGGCTGCTCTCTGGGACGTTTCCATTACCGTTGCCATTGCTGTTGCTATTGCCGTTAGTGATCCCATTGCCATTGCCATTGCTGTTGTGCCGTTGAGCGCTGGCCACAGTGTGCTGTTGGGAAAGACGCTCGGTCGCCTCACGGACACGTTGGCTCATCAGCCGCGTCGGTGTGGCGGCACGCTGAGGCAGCGGTGAACTAGGCATGGATCGGGTTTGAGCGGATTTAGCTTTAGTAGAGCTGCTGTTACTGCTTGCGGCTTTCCCTGTCTCTTCTGCTGGCATATATGGAGAAAAAGTACATGAGTTAGTTATGGATCAAAGCTTTAAGGTTCAGATTGGAGTTACTTCGAGGGATGCGCCCCACGCTGGCGACCTTGGTAATCTTGTTGGGCTCTAGGGCAAGCTTGGGGTTGTTAGCAGCAGCGGAAGCGATTTTGGTCTGCTGGAATTTGTCCTTCAACTGGGACACCTTCAGCTTGGAGGACTCGCACAGGGGCTTGGCATGCAGCTTCGGCTTCTCGCGCATGGCACTGTCCTCCAGCGACTTTTTCCGCATCTTTATAGTGTTGGTGAAGTCGGAGCGCATTATGGCCTCGCCTTTGGGTGGCAGCTCCAGGGTGATAGGACTCTCAGGACAGTCCAGGACCACTGGCAGAGGACCGCTGCTCGCCTTGGCAATCTGCTCCAGCTTGGACTTGGCCAGTGACAGGAGCAGCGTCTCCTGGGCCACGACGCCGGCTGCCCCTAGGCTGCAGTTGGAGCACTCGCTGTAGCCGGAGTCGCTGCGCTCGCTGCACTGCGACTTGTCGCGCAGCTTAAGGGCTCCGTGGGCATACCGCTTGTCCACGTGCGGCATTTCAACACTGAAGTCATCCTCCTCCTCGTGCAGAGATGTCATTTGCGTGTTCACAGTGCTGACCAGGGCGCTGGCGGCATTCAGCATACCCAGGCCAGAGATTGAGGGTCGCGGACTGTTCAGGGCTCCCATTGCGATGGCTGAATTCCTTCGCGAGGCCGATAACGTGGCCATGCGTCCCAGGGCGCGAATAGCATTTCCAGTTTTCTGGATAAGAAGCAGCAGAAGCAGCAACAGCAAGGCGGCAAGCAGGCAAGTTAGGCAAGGACACAAAAAGGAGCAGCAGTTGGTTAGGATTTCTTGAAGCAGATGTAACTAACCTGCCACTTGCGTCGAATGATGAACTTCTTGAGTTTGTCCGTGCAGATCTTGTTGTTGCTGAGATTGTCATCGTGGCGCTGGCACAGCCACTTGGACTCCAGGCACTGCTTGGCAGTCAGGCGCTCCTCCTTGCGGTGCACCAGCAGCTGGGAGATGAAGTCCTTGGCCTCCTGCGAACTATGGACAGGTGATCAGTAAAAGAAATACATTCCTCGATTGCTAAAATCCTACACGCAGTCAAAGGCCTCGTCATCGTAGTCGTAGTCCGCTCTTGTAATATTCGAAAAGGTTTCCACATCGGTGTCGCCCATGAAGGGGGAAAGACCAGAGAGCCTGGAAAGGATACCAGTTGGATAAGAGCTGAAATTTCAGAATTCCTTTACTGTAAACACTCACAGCACATAGCAAATGACGCCTACGCTCCACATGTCCGACTTGAAGTCGATGGGCTCGTAGCTAATGATCTCTGGCGGTATAAATTCTGGAGTTCCGAAGAGCACCCGAACGGGTGCCTTCGTGTCCAGTCGCTGTGCCAGGCCAAAGTCAATGATCTTGATCTGGTGGCTGGTACGTGTATGGCACATGATGTTCTCCGGCTTCAGGTCCAGGTGAACAACGCTCTGACTGTGCATGTAGGCGACGCCCTCGCACACCTGTCGCAGGAACAGAATGCAGTCCAGCTCCGTGAGTGTGAAATCATCTGCCACCACACGCTCGAACAGCTCTCCACCGGTGATACTAAAGATAAGCAGGGTGCGGATACAAATTGGGGAGAATTGCAGAGACAATTCAGAACCTCTTGATCTACTCACTATTCCATCACCATCACAATCTCCCGCGGACTCTCGAAGGAGGCAGCCAGCTGTAGGAGCTTGGGATGCTGCAGCGATCGCATGATGGAGATCTCCTCGAGCACCTTTTGGCGATCGCGCGATTTGATGCACTTGATCACCTTGGCGGCCAGGAGTTGCTGCGGCTGATCACGCTCCTGCACCTTGTACACGATGCCGAAGCGGCCTTTGCCCAGCTCCTCGATGACCTCGAAGCGCGCCTTGAAATCCCCGCCAGACTGCACGCTCACCGCTTGTCCATAGTCCACGGTGGTCGTCTCTCCCGCTCTGGCTCCGTACTGGCTGCTGCTCATCTGTACCAGTTCGCTAGCCTGGCTGGGCGCACTGCGTCCGTGTATGTTCTCGGCTCGCACGCGAAATCTATACTGCATTTGGGGTTGAAGATTCTTGACGGTGTAGGCCAGGGTGTCCACAACACGTGCCACCTGCTGCCATTCATCGTATTCCTTATCACAGTTCACAGGATCGCAGCTCTGCATTTCAATGCTGCAAGAAAAAGTTCAGTGTGGTCGGTCACATTCGGTCAGTGTGGTTTCTGGGGAAAGACTTGTCAGAGATACTCACATGAAGCCCGTAATCATGCAGCCGCCATCGTAAGGCGGTCCACACCATGCCACCGCCATGCGATCTGGACCGGGGGATACACTCGGCTGTCCGCTGGGTGGCTCTGGTGGTCCCTCAACGGCCACCGAGGCGGCCGCTGCCTCCACGCCGTAGTCATTCATTATTTCTACCGTGTACTTGCCGCTGTCATCGGCCGAGATGTCCGTTATGTAGAGCGTCGACTGTTGAGCGCTCGTACGGATCGTCACATTGGAACCCTCGACAATGGCACGGCACTGTAAAAAAGAGATACCCATATTTTGATGTGTGAGTGTTGGGTTAAGCTCTGGCCAACCTTCGTGTGGCGCAAAAACACGTTCGTCTCGGTTCGCATTTGCGGTTTGGAACCATTACGTAGCCGGGCGGCATACGTCAATACCGCAAGCTGATCGTGACACAGTCTGGGTCTGGGCTGTGCCCATAGGGGGAGCTAAAGATAGAGCTAAATATAGAGGGGCGTCTTGTGCTGGCTTATGACAGATAAAGAATGATACGGATCATGGCCATAACAATGAGAGTACAATACTTATACCCATAATCCCCACTAACTGCGGCCAGCGGCCTGCTCTGGCCTAATTGGGTCAAGACATTGTTGCGCAACGAAACCGGACAAATTACCATACGCATACCAAACACATACTCCTTCGTCACTTGGTCACTTCTCTGAGAGCCCTATTTGCCCTATTTGGGTATGGGTATGGAATCGATGGATTTATACTTACCGCCTTGTACCAGATGACTTTGGTGCCCGGGAATGGGTCGTAGCGCACGCTCAGCCGCACATGACCGCCAATGAGGGCGGTGCAATCTTCGGGGCGTGTCAAAATGCAGCTTCTGGCAGCCAGCGACGAGGATCCGTTGCTGCTACTACTGTTGCCCCGTACAAGGGGCAAGACCAGCAGACTGGTATATGTCCGGGCAGTGGGTATGCGCCGCTCCGTCTGTGGATGCTTTACTTGCAGCCGAATCTCCCCGCTCTTGGAGGGCTGTACGTCTCGCAGGCGCAGCACCCGAATGCCGTTCTCTGGATACGACTCCAACTGCAACAGAAAGAGATGATCACTATAACTCAAGGAAACTCAAAGCAGATGGGTAAACCATGTGCATACACTATGACAACTACTATGTGCGTATCTATAGTATATAGTGTGCACAAGTGTTTCCGATCGGGCGGAATGTGACACGACGCGGTGAACGGTTAGTCCAGCACTGAAAGCCTCTCTCAATGGCAACGTACCAATTAGTCGCGGAGAATCGGGAGCACGCCAGAACCGAACCGATCGCGACGACAATGGCACTTTCACGCTCACTGTCGCTCGTTCCACTTCCATTTCCATTTCCATGGGAGCACAAAAACGGCAAGTGTCTGGGCCCTGTGCCCTGTGCATGGGCGGCACTCGCCACACTCGCCCTGCCTTATCTATAAGGTATTTTATCTACGCGAATGTAAACGATATTGATACACCTTAAATGTTATCCATTTGACTCGCCTACCTTCGACATCTTGTCCCACCCTTGAGCGGCTGCGTCTAATTATACTGCTGTTTCTATTGCCTAACTAAAACCAGGTTGACATCTGGGGGAATTCTTGGACCTGATGTGAGCCGCTTGAGCGCCACTGAACGAGTGTTTCATTCCTCTTCGATCGGCCGGACGGGAGCATGGCGCATCGATTGGAAGCGCAAGCGAACGGGCAGCGACGCCTCACTAACATCGTTTTGCATGCAGCGCACATGCGGCAGTATTTCAATCTTTTGGGGCTCTCTGTTTTCAATTTCTGATTTGTAGATGTGTACATATGTAAATGAGCATGCCTATATGTATATGAACAATCATGATTATTGTTATTGTCTCCGTCATCTCTATCAAGGTGTGAACGAATCTGAGGCTGAGGTTCCAGCCTGCGGCAAGGCGACAAAGAGAAAATGAAAAGAAGTCTAGCTTCGAGAGTCGAAACACTTAATACCCTAACAGATCTAAAATTCCAACGACACAGATCTATGATCCGTGATCAATGGCTTCGTAACTGTAGCTTTGGACGCTGATCGGGTGTATATACACAATTCATCTGATCAAATATTCTTTCTTCTCTGCTTATCAAACACACCCTCTAATAAATAATACCCTCTGCAAGGGTACAATCTGAAATGAAGACCTCTGTTTGGAGATGGCAGTTATCCAAATTCTCCGCGTTCCACACACTCATATTGGGGCCAGCGAGCGACCGAACCACTTAATGTTTATAGGCCCTGTGTGACTGCTTGTTCCCCCTGCATACGCACCGTCATGTTCAGTGAGTCATCCGCCTCGTCGGCGAGCGGCTTTCCATTGAGATACCAGACAGCTTCCGCTTTGCAGGGAAAAACACGCGCATAGAAAAGCGCCTCCTCTCCCGCTCCACAGACCACGGGCAGCGGTGTCTTCAATAGTTGTATGCACTCCTCGTCGTTTTGGGACAGATCCCGCTCTAAAACGCATAGCTCCCCGCTGCTGCTGCAGTCACAGTCGCTGTCCGGGGCTGAGGCTGAGGCTGGGTTGGAGTTCTGAAGGAGGATGTCATTGCTTTCGGGCGATGAGGAAGAGGTAAACACCTGACAGCTGTAAGTGCCCGAGTCAATGTCGAATGGTTCGTTGAGGCGCAGACAGAGGCATCCATTGCCGTGATCAATGTAGCTGCAATATATAATTAAAACGTTAATAAATGCTTGCGATTGTAGGTAATACCGACGAAAGAATACCCTATTCTCGGTTCCCAGATCTGCTTCGTAGGCTAATTATCGGGCTACCGTGCACTAAAACCATATACCCTTGCAGTCCACCGCCTTATACTCACTTAAACTCGTCACTATCTGGTAGAATTTCCCCATTACGTAGCCAAAGGTAGCTGTAAGGCTGGTCGCAGTCGATAAGGCAACACAGATCGATTGCCTCGCCCTCCACCGCTTTGGTGATCTCGGCCAGAGGTTCCGCAATGACAGCGCGACGTCGCTGTTGTTCAGTATTGGGTTCGTGGAAGGTAACGCTCGTGGAACTAATGAGCGGATCATGATCGCCGCTTATGATGCAGGTGTAGACGCCCTCGTCCTCTCGCGTCACATTGTCCACGATGAGCATGGCCATTGAGTCCTCCGGCTGCAGCAGAATGTGCACTCGATCCGTGGGCTCCAGCTCCACGTTGTTGTGGTAGAATCTCACCGACGGCACTGAGGAGCCTCGATAGCCGCTTGCCAGAGCCATGCGTCCGCCAATAGCTGCAATATTGGATTTTAGACATGGATTTCGAGAGTAAGAGAGGAATACGCCTACCTGTCGATGGACCCATGATTCGTCTATGTAGATAGGCATTGCGGCGGGAGGAGGAGGCCCGAACACTGCGCACTGAAGGGGACTTGGAATAGCGTGAGCTTCGGATGACGTCCAGCCGAGCGGTGGCCTCAATGCGCCCAAAATCGTTCTCCAGGGTGATGCGGTACAGGCCCGCATCGTCGAAGCTCACCTCATCGATCTCGATGAAGCGCAGATCGTCCACTTCCTTCACAGCTATGCGCGTGGTGGGTGTGACAATCAGCCCGTCCTTGTCCCAGGTGGCCCAGGGTGTGGGATGGCCTCCAATGGCGCACTGGAATCGGACGTTGTCACCCTCCTCGACAACGCGGTTGTAGGGAATGGCAAGGAATTTGGGAGCTGTAAAGGCATTACGGGCATCGCTACGGCGCCGCTCCGCCACTCCAGACAGATCGATGCTGCTGGTGCGGTACGAGAGTCGACGCATGGGCGAGAAGCTTCGATTGGGGGTCGACCGCGGAGTGGAGCGTGGCGTCGAGTGGGCAGAGAGCAGGCCGCTTGGCCGCGTTAGCTGGCGACTCAGCATGTTCTCCTTCTCCTCGGGCACATCCACGATAATGCAAGCAGACGAAAGCGTACGTCCCACGGAGTTCTTTGCCACGCATGTGTACTCGCCCTCATCTTCGGGATAGACGCGGGGTATGCTCAAAATGGCCTTTGTGCCGTCATATGACATCACATAGTCCCTGTCACTGGGCACAACATGACCATCCTTCTCCCAGATTATGTACGGTTCGGGCATGGCCTCCACATGACACTCCAGCGATATGGCGTCGCCATCGCAGCATCGCAAATTTCTCAAGTTTCGGACGAATCGCGGAAGTGTCTCGATGTTGCTGCAAAGTACAAATATAATTGAGCCCCGAATCGCCGCACCTATGAGAGAGAGTTACTCACCCATGTCGCGTGTGAACCTTATCCATGCGGCTATCTTTAAGTATATCTGCGAAACGAATAACATTTTTGAACAAACTCCCGATAACCAACAGATGCCAATCGACAAGCAGTGTAAAGCAGTGTAAATTGACACATTCACTCCTGGCTGGCGTTTTTGCCATTTCCCCCTAATGTATAACACGGTCACACTGTTCGGAATGTTTATTTTTAGCCGTCAAAGTTTGTCCCGTACCAGAAAAGTGCGACTTTATAAATCATTTCGTAATGAAGGGAATGATTATTGTTCCCATGGACATAGATCCTGGCTTCCGCAAGGCAACCATCCACAATTTACCCACCCTCAACAGCGGAATGGTGTATAACTTTTGCCTGGCAGCATCCTCCGAAAAGTCACAAAATATGTAAGCAACCTATTGCTGTCTCTCTCGCACTCTCCTAATGGAATTTCTGGTCCGCAGATCGACGGATAAAAATGATCTCTTAGCTGATTATGTGCAATTGCGACAGAAGGGCAGCATCTGCGAACTGAAGGCCATGGTATTCTCCGCATCCGAGTTTGCCGATACGGACACACATGCCAATGTCGCCATCAAAGTTCTCGACAACCCGCGGGCCATTGCCGAGGGCCAATGCAGTCGGTGCCCCGATTCTGGTATGAAGTCCCAGTAGTTTCTTTGCCAGCGAAAAAGATTAATTAACCAATCTCCTGTTCTTAGAAGTGTGTCCACATATTGTGGCCTTCACATTTTGGCTACTGCACAAGAGTACGGAGCGACAACCCTCTGCTGTGGTTGAATTTTGGGGGCACGAACTGGAATTGCTAGTGCAGACGGAGCCCACACGGGCCATTCAAATATGTGATATGATTCCAAAGGATGAAGTCCGACTGCAGAGTGACGCGAGCTCTCAAAAAATGAACGACAGCGATGGTCAGGCCTTCCTCTCGACTGTGCTGGAGGAAATAGCTATTTGTGGACGTGGATCGGCTCTGTACCGGCAGTGTGTGGAGACCAGTGATGAGTTTGAGACACTCTTTGTGCATCATGTGCTGTTGAGGGCAAACGAGTACAACATACACGATGTCCAGGGCTTTGCACAGCACATGGAGCAGCAGGCGCAGATCGGTCTCATTGAGAGCCTCAATGATGTGAGCAGGAACCAGTACAAGTCGAGGCTGTGGGTGGAAACTCAGTACATGCGCATACGCTGCTCCATGATAAACCTTTTGGCTACTCGCAAAACGGCCGAGGATGATGAGCAGATATTCAACATGATGTTCTGCAAGGGTCGCGACACGAACACCGATGCCCGTATGCAGCTGAAGCAGCACAAGCGATTCATTCTTAAGCAGACGGAAAAACTGGAAAATAAAGAGTACGTCGAATGCGGACTGATGCTGCACGAGAGCTATCCGTTTTTGTGCGCTACACCAGATGGAATCACAGACGATCACATTGTTGAGATCAAAGCACCAAAGTCCGAGGAGGACTTTCAAAGGTATCTCGAGGCCGGCGAATCGATAGCACCCAAATATATGGCTCAAATACAGATACAAATGTTTGTGGCAAATGTCAGCAAGGCGCTCTACTGCGTCCTCAGTCCCATATTCGAGACGAACGGGGCCCTGCACTATGTCTGGGTGGAAGCCGATCCGGAATTTGTGGCCAGTCTGATCACCATGGCCGACGACTTTTGGAGGGACATTGTCTTTCCGCGCCTTCTCAACACCTATCCCCAGATAACATATTCCCATTAGGGAATACCCCTATCCAGGAGTAGGAGTAAAGAGTCTGATCCCCCGACTAGTCAATAAATGAAAAATGTGTAATCTTACCTTTGGCAAATATTTGTAGCGATATTACAGCCTTGGCCTCGCCATGGCAATTGCTGGCTATGACGGAATAGGTGCCGGTAAAGTCCAACTTGGCGCTCGGTATCTCCAGTCTGTACTCTGGGCCCTCGCCAATCCTACGAAAATGTGGCGCGTCTTTATAATACTCCGGCTGCGTAAAAAAGATGCAGATAGAGGCACCATGTGAGTCAAGGTTACTCCGAGATTTGAACACAAACGGACGGTCTGGTTAATAAGGAATCACGCATAAGCATGAATCACGACGACTATCTTTATACAAATGTCTGATGCCTAAGGCTGAGGCTGGTTTCTATGGCTGTTGCTGACGTTCGAACTCGGTTGTTGTTGTTGTTTTTGGGTGAAGCTTATGGCCATATAAGCACAAAATTGAATTTTGAGACTATCGAATAGGAAAACTGGTAACAGGTATACGCTGACAACTGATGTTGACGTTGACCTCCTCCTGCCTGCCTGCCTGCCTGCTTCTGCTTCCTTGGTTGCACGTTGCACACGACAGCGGTTGTTAGTACTCGCAATAATTTTTTTTTTCCTTTTTGGCTTGCACTCGTATCGTATAATTGTTTGTATCAGTTTTCGATGGCTGAACAAGCCTGTTATTTGATATGGCCTGAACTTGAATTAGCGTTTGACAGCGAATCGGATTTATAAGATCTGTTGTGTTTGTCTCTATGGTGCTATGCCCCTCTGGTCGGGTCTGGTATGCTCTGCTCTGAGAATGACGCATTTGTCTGTAATCCGAGTACGAAGTGCAGCAGCCGCACCTGTGTGCCACTGCTGCTATTGTTCTTCATCATATCACATTCCGTTTACCTTTGCAGAAGATTCTGTATTGTTTCTACTTTTTTCGACACTTTGTTCGCGTTTACGGATCAATACGAAACTTTTGAAATCTATCCGCACGAGCAACTATTGCAATTCGAAAAAAAACACAATCTACCGTCTGGCCCCCTGGGAGCTCACTTTATATAAAAAAAATATCAGGCGGAAGTCACTTTGCACTTCCTGATGCCAGTAGGGCCCCCACGTTCTTGGTTCACCTGTACTTGAGCGTCTTTACGAGAATGGGCACGCGAGAAGGTAACGCGTAACGGGCGTAACGGCAGCGATAACTGAATACGACCCACATTCGCTGGTGCCGTGAATGCAACTGACTTGACTGACCGACTGGGTGGCTGTGGGGCTGAAAGCTGCGGCTGCTATTGCCTCTGCTGCGCCTGCGCCTGCACTATGACCGTGTTTCACTCGTACTCACATTCAGAAAATCACGCAGCCAAACCACCTCGGGCTTGGGATCGCCAACTACCTCGCAGAATATGATGACGTTGTCGCCCTCGTAGGCCTCGCTGGAACGAGGCTTGACCACAAACAGGGGTTCCTTGGAGTAACTTTAAAGGAGAAATGGAACCATTAAGCAGGCATTAAGCAGTTGTCTTTTGGGTAGAACTTACGGCAGATCGTCCGTCTTGATGCTGGGTATTTCCAGTGAACGCTGCGGCACCATTTTGTGCTCCTCCTCCTCGATAGCCACGCGGCAAATGGTCTCCACCTTGCCGACCACATTGGAGGCCACGCACACATAGATTCCGGCATCCCGCACAGTGGCCTCGGCAATGATTAGCTCAACGTATCCATTGCTGTCCAGGGTGGCGGTCAGACGTCGACTGGGGCGCAGGCGCATGCCATTACGATGCCAGGTGACACCTACGGCTGGGTAGGCCTCCACCTTTGTGGACAGGCGTATTTCAGAGCCCTCGGGGAACACATAGAACGGATCGAGAGGCACATAGAAGTCAGGCGAGATGTAGGCACGAATGCCTTTATCCACTACCAAATTGCAGTGGCACGAAACGGAGCCCAGTTCGTTTTTGGCCAGGCAGGTGTAGATGCCGCTCATGTCCAGCGTTGTGGCAGCAATCTCTAGAGTAAAGAACTGCCCATCGGCTGTGATCAGGTGTCGCCTGTCAGCGTTGATCAGCTCCTCATCCTTGTACCATAGAATTTCCGGCACGGGATACCCTACAATCTGGCAGGTGAGACGCACTGGATAGGTCACCTGGACGCGGCGATCCCGCAGACGCATGGTGAAGATTGGCAACGAATCCCCCACCTCAGCCACATTACGTCCATGGGCGATTTCCTTCAGGCGGGAGTCCGCCTCGTACAGCCGCGAGTCGGACACAACTTGAAGCCGTGCAAAGGTGGAGACACGGCCCTTGGAGTTGGTCGCCTCGCAGGTGTACCGGCCAGAGTCCAGATCGCTGACCGTGGCTATGGTCAGGGCGCAGGTAGAGCCAATCTGTCGTATCCTTACGCGCTCAGAACTGCTGCTCAGCTGAATACCATCCTTGTACCAAGTCACTGTGGGACGTGGGGCGCCTCGCATGTTGCACTGGAGAGTGAAGGAAGAGCCAAACAGGGCCTTAACCTGGCCGGGCAGGATCTTGACGAACTCGGGTAGGCACTCGACGCCACCCACCTGCAGAGCGGAGCTCGTCTGGACGGCCGGGCCCCAGCCGTAGCGATTCTTTGGCGTGACCCGGAAGTGGTACTCCACATTGGGCTTTAGATTGAAGGCGTCGAAAGAGTTGATCGGCGTCAGTCCCAGCTCTCGCCAGTAGGCGCCGCCCTCGTGGCCCAAAATCCAGGCCTCCACCTTGTAGGCAATGACTGGAGCCGAGTTGGCACTCACGGGCTTGCCCCATGACAGGGAGATGTGTGTGGGTCCGGAGTCGACGACCAGAGGTTCGGTGGATATGCAGCCAGGGGGATCTGGAGAGTGGGCAAAAACAAAAACAACAGAAAAAACAATTGAATGAGGTGCACAGATTGTAGATGGAAGGGAGGGGTGGGTGGTATATACACCGCAAGAGATCCGATCCTCAAATGAAAGACAGTACGCCCCGGAGAAATATTTTTTTATTTTCTTGTTTTCCACTACGTAAATGTATAAGCTGGATTGCTGTGCTTTAAATAATACATTATTTATATACGATAATAAAAGTAATTAAGTCAATCGTTCAGAAATACTAACAAAAGATAAATACACGAAATATTTTGTGTGTGTGCTGCAGGGTGTATCGATCTATCGATCTCATTGATCTCACAGGAAGATTCTTTTGTCGTTTTTGGTTTGTGGCGGTTCTTGAACCGATCTGGAAAAGATCCAACTAAAGCTTTGGCATCATATCGTATTACAAGAGATGCACACTAACAGACAGACGTAGGACAAAGGATGCAACGGACAACGAAGGGAGAAAGACGATGATCCACACACACAAAAAGGGTACAAGCGAAGGATGTGTACATAGAACGCATAGATGACAAGCAGGCTGCCACTCGTATGCCTAGTAGCTTACTCCTTCCACATCTATATGTTCTTTAATACGGGACGCAGAGATGTAGGGATGCAGTAAACTCTGGAACTCACCTCTGAAATACGATGTGTCGCTGTAACTGTCCAGGGGTAGGCCCCAGCGAGGTTGCGTTGGCGTTGTGGAGCGAGCGCGCGGGTTTACCTATAAGTTTTGTAGTCAGAACGATATTATATTGCTTTGAATGAACACATAGAGAGAGTCAGGAAAGTTGACTGTAATTAACTATAATTATATTTGGTGTTGGTATTTTGTTGGTGCGTTTGAAATTTGCAAAATATTTATATGTTTAATAATTAATAAGCTTTATTCTTTCTTTTTGGGGATTTTAATCTAGATAAAAAAGAGAAGAGAAGCAGAAGCAGAGAAGAAAAGAGAAATAATAGCAGATGTTAGTTAGCGAAAGCATTTGGCGCACATACAGAGAGAGAGACGCAAGACTTTCAGGAACAGCCACAAGCGATAGCAAACAACAACAGATTCATATGTATACTCGTAGAGGTATGTTCGAGTATATTTATATATGTATATCCCAAGGAACCTTACCGTGACGGTAACAAATATCCTGTCCGTGCCAAAGTTGTTACGTGCCACAACGAAATAGGTGCCCGAGTCGGAGATTTGGGCCTGCTGCACTGTGAATCTGGTATAGTCATCGGATACCTCTTTGCTGACCCGATCCGATTGGGTGATGTCCTTGGTGCCCTTCATGAACGTGACTGAAACATGAGGCAATCGAATGATATAATTAGTAGGAATGGGGATCCCAAACACACGCAATGAGCAATCGCTTACGCTTTGGTTTCGGTTCGCCGGCAATACGGAACGCAAACGAGAAGGGATCACCCACAGCGATCTTCATTTCGGTATCTGGGCGAGACAGGAACAGCGGTGGCCGTTCGTCCTTTTCGGCACCAACAGCCACATCGACATTGGCATGCGACTCGATCCGTCCGTAGGCGTTCGAGGCGCGGCAGGTGTAGGTGCCCTCAACCTCTGACGTGGCTTTCATGATGGTCAGCGTGTAGACACCGCGATCGGCCAGGGCCTGGACATTGGGACCTTCGACGACCTGGCGGTCTCGCAACCATTTCACCTCGAGGGGCGTGGTTGTCTGCATGAACTCGGCCGAAATGGCTACAGTACCACCATCGCAGACGGTCTGATTGCCGAGCGGCGTGAGGAAGTGCGGCTTATTGGGGTCACGATGGTAGAAGCCGGACGTCTTCTCCTGTGTGTACCGTTCACGTCCCTTAAAGTCCACTTGATGAGACATCTTGTTCTCGGCACCCTCGTTGCGGGCCACGCACGAGTAGACGCCAGAGTCCTTCTCGGTGGGGTTGACAATGACCAGCTTGGCATACCCATCGGCCTGATCGGTTATCTGGTACTTCTCATCGCTGCTAAGGATCTCGTTCCCCTTCATCCACGTAATATCGGGGCGAGGCTGGCCACGTACGCGACAATCCAGAACTAACTCATTCTCGTTGAGAGAATATGTGTCTACAGGAAGGACGAGAAAAAGTATTAGCAAAGGGTCAAGAAATCACTGGGTGTACAGAAGCGGTTAGCGAAACAGCAAACAGCAAAGATGAGCAGGCGCGGGCGAAATCCTCGTTTGACGGGGGGGAGGGAGCAATACCTCGAATCGGCTGCGTAAAAGTACTTGGCTGTGAAGCTTCCTTAAAGTGCTTGTAGACACGCAGTTGGGCGTGAGTAAGGCTCTCGCCAAAGTCGTTGCTGGCAGCGCAGGTGTAGTTGCCGCTGTCGTCGGCCACTGCAGCGTAGATTTCCAGCGAGGTCTCTCCGTTCTGGTAGAGGGTCTGGTAGCGCGTGTCTCTTGGCAGAGGTTTGTGGTTCTTTAGCCACTCGATGTGCGTGTTCTCATCGCCGGAAACGGCGCACACCATCCGGAGATTAACTCCCTCTGAAACGGTACGATCGTGCAGTAGAGCGTGGAAGAGCGGCTTGGCTTTGCCCACGCTCCGCATGACGTGATCTCCGGCTCGATGAAGCTCTCCATTTCCATTGACGTGACCAGCTCCTGTGTTTATATGCGATGTACTACGCGACCAACTGGACGCATTCTGATCCGCAATCGCATACACTTCGTCTGGACTGACAGTGATGAGACGCTTGAGGTCGGCGGCTCTGATGGAGGTGCTGATCGAATCGATTCGATCCTCGTGCTCCGCATAGCAGGCAAAGATGCCGCAGTCGGAGGATATGGGATTGCGTATGATCAGCTTCCGAACGCCACCGGGCTCCTCCACCGTCTTGTAGCGATTGTTGCAGATCGTGTGATCGTCGCGCATCCAACTGACACTGGGGCGTCCATGCACCTGACAACTGAGCACAATCTCATTCCGCTGAGCATCGTACGACTCTGCGAAGGACAATTACAAATAGGTATAATCAGTAAACGAAAAAGGATGATAGATGGGACGGTCTATTTGTACCTGTTATTGCACTGGAGAAGCTCTCCGGCAGCTGTCCGTGGGTCTGATCCAATACACTGAGCTGTCCGGCACTCTCCACAGTCTGCTTGCTGTTCTTCACGACGCATCTGTAGTGGCCACTGTCCTCGACCCGGGCATCGTATATCTCCAGACTGATGGCCCCGTTTATGTTGTAGATCTTGTGCCGGGAATCCTTCGTCACGCGCTCCTCGTTCCGCAGCCAGTGCACATCCTCGATGAAACCGGTCACATAGCAAATCATCTGGGCCTTGTTGCCGCTGCCAATAGTCATGGTCTTCAAGCTGGTCTCCAGGCTGAGACGCAGCTTGGCCTCGCGGGCCTTGGCCTTAGCCTTGGCTGCGGCATTGTCGCTAGCAGCAGCAGAAGCGGAGGATTCATCATCCCGCTTGATCTCCTGAATGACCATATCAATGGGTTTCTTTTCAGCCGCTCGCTCGCGCACATAGTCGGAGGCCCGCACGAACTTGCTGATCTTCATCTGACCGTTCTCGCTCTCCGCATAGCAGGTGTACAGTCCAGAGTCGTCGCTGCCAAAGTTCGCTATGGTCAGGAGATTTACGCCGTCACTCTGCTCGGCATACTGGTACTTTTTGCTCTCCAGCGGCAGCAAGGTGTTGTCCCGCTGCCAGTAGATGTGTGGCTTTGGGCTTCCCGATACCTTGCACTCCAGCGTGAGGCTATTGCCCTGTGAATGGTATGCATCTGCAAGGGATGATGGGGAAGAGACAAGGCACAATACACATAAGACAAAGTACAGAATTTGGGAAAATCAAAGGATATATCTAGGGATTAGTGTTAGTTCTCTAAAGCTACATCTATAGTAGGAGTACAGTAGGACTACACTTAGCTCAAAGCAAGGGGACATTCACCTGGACGCACTGGCGCGACTTTCGCAACGTAACCACATACGAGTAGAGAGTCCTACCTTTGATGCCCACCACAAAGGTGGGTGGGATTATCTCTTCTTTTCCCGTGCTGTAAACGAACAGGTTGCAAGTGCTCACGATTTCGTTGTCAGATCCCCTCACCCTCAGCGTATACTCGCCGGCATCCTCCTCGGTCACACCCACCAGATTCAGCCAGGCAATGCCGTCCTGCATGGACATCTTGCTCTTGGGGCCGAAGGCAATCGGCTGATCGCCGTGGAACCACTTGGCACTTGGCTCCGGTCCGTCGATGTTCACCATCCACTTGACGTTACTGCCCGACTTGACGGTGCGGTTTGAGAGGTAGTTGCGGAAGTAGAGACGCTTTCTTAGATCTGGTGGCATGGGTACTTCGCGCCTCGAGCTTGTCACCTCCTCTTCGTCGGGCTTGGGCTTCCTGCGTCTCGGCTCACCGTCGGCTCCAACTTCTCCCTCCTCGCCGGCGGCTGGCTCCTCGCCCTCGCCAGCAGGACGGGGCGGCCTGCCCTCCCTGGGCGGCGAAATGCGTGGAGCCCTCACACGCTTCTCCACGGTGACCATGTGAACGATTTCCGTCTTGCCCTCGCGGTTCTCGGCCTGGCAAACGTACTTGCCGCTGTCCGAGGGCTTCGGGCTACTGATGAAGAGCTCGCAGGTGCCATCATCGTGGTCCACCTGCTGGTACTTGTCGCTGTTCTCGATCTTCACGCCATCCTTCACCCATGTGACCGAGGGCGTGGGCAGACCGCGCACATGTACGTCCAGCTGCAGTTCGTTGATCTTGCCGTGCAGCGTGTCCTTGATGTTGCGCGTGAATGTGGGCGGAACGTCGCCGGTGCCCGGATCCTCGAAGACCTCCAGGCGGCACGAGGTGGACGCTTCGCCGGTTTCATCGCGTCCCCAGCACTTGTACTCGCCATTGTCCTCCGCCGTGGCGCTCGTGATTTCCAGAAGGCACAGGCCCTCGCTATAGCGGCCCCTGATCTTGGGTCCATTCACCAATTGCTCTCCGTCTTTGAACCACTTGACTTGTGGCTCCTTGGCGTCCAGGAAACAGGATATCTTCACCTTGGATCCCTCGGCCACAACGCGATCCCTCATGGAGGTGCTGAAGTGGATTACGATGTTCTTCTCGCGCCGCTTGCTCGAAATACTGCCCGAGTCCGAGGCATAGTCGGAGGCATAGGCCGATGAAACTCCCTCATCATCGTCCGCCTTGCGGCCACGTCGCTTGCCCTTGCCCTCCTCGGCCTCAGCCTCAGACTCGGGTGCGGCCGCCGCTGGAGTTGGCTTCCTCCAGTCCTCCGAGGGCTTCTCCTTCTCCTCCTTGGCACGCAGAAGATTCTTGTCGGCATGGAACACGCCATGGATGTTGTCCGCAATATGATGAGCCATGCCCTCGAACAAAACGTAATGCGAGATCTCCATTTTGCCGGCCCGACTTTCGGCCTTAACGACATATTTGCCCGAGTCCTTGTTGTCCGGACGATCGATGTGGAGCTCGCAGGAGCCATCCTGATGCTCGATAAGCTGGAAGCGACCGCCGCTTTGGATCTCAATGCTGTCCTTAAACCACTGCACCTCCGGTGTGGGCTGGCCTCGCACCGCCGTCTCCAGAATCAGCTCATTGGTGTTCAGATGATAGGTGTCTTTAAGTGGGGAAGGGAAGAAGGTGGAAGAGATTTCTATTATGCAACGAATGCAGAATTCAGCATGCTGCAGAGAGAAGACATATCACATCACATCACCACAAACAACATAATGAATTGCATAACGATTAATGGCATTGCACAACCACGAATAATGTCGGATGCTTCTAAGTATAGATCGATCTCTCACTGATCTGATCTGATCTCTCATCCGATGAGGAGACGATTGTGATGCCTGCTCGATGCGATCCCTTACCTTTTAGCGAACGTATGAACACGGGCTGGACATCGGTGTTGACCTTCGCCTCGTAGACATGCAGCACGGCCGAGGTTGTGATCTTGCAGTGCTCGTTTTGGGCAGTGATCGTGTAGGTGCCAGAGTCCTCTGTTGAGGCGTTGACAAACTCCAGGACCGCCAGGCCATCACGATTCATGTTGCGAATGCGCGGTCCGTAGGAGACATTCTGGTCGTCCTTCTGCCATTTGAGTGTCGGCTCCGGACCTCCAATTACAGCCTGCAACTTGACCTTGGAGCCCTCGGCAACATACCGATTGGACAGATTGACCGTGAAGTAGAGCATTTGCTTGGGCGAAGGGTCCGGCATGCGGCTGCGTCGCTCGTAGCCACCATCCCCGCCGCCACCGCCGCCGGCCTCCTCCTCATCGTCCTTCTTCTTCTTCGGCCTGCTCTTGGCCTTGCCACCACCCTCCACGGCTTCGCCCTCCTTTGCACCGTCCTGCATGGCCAAAGTGGAGAGAATACTCGATCGACGCGATGAGTGTGTGTCGACGACGACCGTGTGGGTGGTCGACTGACTGCCCAATTTGTTCTGGGCACTGCAGACATAGATTCCGTTGTCATTGACGGTCGGCTTGTTGATGATCAGCTCACAGATGCCGTCCAAGTGCTCGATCTGCACCACCCGATCGTCGAGCACCACGGGTATCTGGTCTTTGGTCCACGTAATGACGGGTCGGGGATTGCCGCGCACCTTCGTATCGATAATTAAATCGTTCTGCGAGGCATGATATACATCTAAGGAGAATGCAAATGCAATCCAATCAATCAATTCATCTATTTTCGTACACGGACGACCTCAATCGCGATCGTCGGACATCACAATACACACACGTCACACACACATATAGCACATATAGCAGTCGTGTAACCAGAACACTTAGGGACATAGTATATCCACAGAGTAAAGACATCCACGATATAGAGTGCAACATTGAGAGAAGAGCAAATACCTCGCAGGGGCAGGGCGAATATGGGCTCCGATTCGTCGCCATCGGTTTGTGCCGCATACACTTTGAAGTAGCAAGAGGTTTCGATTTCGCTGAGTTCGTTCTTGGCCACGCACTTGTAGACGCCCGAGTCGGCAGTGGTGGCATTCTCGATCGCTAGAATTGCTTTGCCCTCCTCCGACAGGTTCTTGATGTTGCCACCAACCACCACCCACTTGTCGTCCTTCATCCAGCGGGTGCTGGGCGAGGGTCCAATGACAGTGGCCACAAACTTAATGGTGGACCCCTCAAGAGCCATGCGATCACGAAGCTGAGTGGCAAACGAGAGCTTCTGCTTAGCAGGGACCAGTGGCTCTGGGGAGGGACGCACTGGTCGGAGGCGCGCCTGTTCGGCCTCCGCCTCGGCACGCCTCTGATCCGACTCGGCCATGGACTTGAGGGCCGCATCCATTTGCCTCTTGGCATGCTTCAAGCTGTCCAGCTGGATCCTGTCGCGGGCATGGAAGATGCCCGGGACATGGTAGTGCAGATTCTTGGCCACCTCCACAGTGTGATTGATCTGAACCTCGCCGATGGAATTGATAGCCTTCAGAGTGTAGATACCGCCGTCCTTGTTGCCGGGCTTATAGATCAGCAGCTTGCAGACACCGTGCGCCTCCTCCAGCATGGTGAACTTGTAGCTAGGCTTCACCTGGAAGGCACCGCGCCACCATGTGATGACCGGTCGGGGCACACCATGGACATGGCACTCGATGGTCAGCTCATCGTCGCGCAAATGATAGTACTCTGGAAGAGGCAAAGAAAAGCTACAGCACAGAACTTAGGGATGCACCAAAGGCGAACGCGAACGCGAAGGCGAACCAAAAACCGAGCACGCTCACTCGCCGACATATACCTTTGATATACTGAATGGTGGGTGGTTTCGGTTCATCCTTAAACACCTCGTAGACGGTGACAATGCACGAGGAGGTCACCTCGTCGTTCTGGTTCGAAATCACGCACGAATACTCGCCAGAGTCCAGGATGTTTGTGTTGAGCACCTCTAGGACAAGGATATTGTTGTTGTTCGAGATGCGATGGCAACCATCGCGCTCAAGCTGCCGGCGGTCCTTGAACCACTTGGCTGATAGCTCGGGGCCATCAACGGCACAGGCCAGGCGCACACTCTGGCCGCACTCGACCGTGCGATCAGAGAGGAAATTTATAAACTTGGGCCGGCGACCCTGCTCCCGGCGATTCTGCCAGTCGGCGTCGCGCTCCTTTTCGCTGATGCGCTTGGCCATGCTGTACTTGCGCATCTGCTGCATGAACTCCTCGCCCTCGATGGCGGCGATGCGCTGCCAGCGCTCCTCCTCGTGGGGATCGGGACGAACGAAGTCATCGGAGGAGTCGCTGCCACGACGTTTCTCTTTCTTCAAGTCGACCACTACGTCCTCCTCTTCTTCGGCGAGATCTTCGGGATTTTCTTCAGCATTCTCGTCGGGGTATTCGTTTTCCTCGTCTCCGTAGCCAGCCTCGGTGCCATCCTCGCCCTCCTCTGGTGGCTCCTCTTCCTCCTCGGCCTCCTCCAGTGCCCGCTGCTCGGCCTCCAGGCGTTCCTGCTCCTCCTGCTCCTCCTTCTCGGCCTGCAGACGTTTCTGCCGCTCCTCAAAGGTCTCGCCCTTAGGCTTCGCCCGGTTGGCCTCCTCTTCGGCGGCCTTGGCAGCCGCCTTGGCCTGCTCCTCCATTTGGAGCACCATCTTGCTCTTCTTTGGCGGTGGCTTGGGTCCCGCCTGCTGCTGCTGCTCGAACATCTTCTTGCTAGCCTTCTGGCCGCCGCCAATCTCTAGCTTCAAGCTCAATTTCGGACTGGGTGACTTCTCCTTCTTCTCCTTCTTCTTGGGAGGAGCCTTCTTCTTGCCCTTCTTGACGGGCTCGTCATCGTCGAGATCCAAACTGTCCTCCCGATCATCGAGGCCGTCAACAATATCTTCGCTGTCCGATGTCATGTCGACGGACTTGCGCGCGACACGGGGCTTCCTGGCCTTCTTCTCCTTCTTCTTGGGCTTCACCTCCTCGAGGATCTCCTCCTCATCGAACTCTTCGTACTCTTCCACGACGTAGATAACCTCAACGTTGGACACATCCATTACGGCAGCGCGATCGATTACCGACAAGTCAGATGTTATGTAACGCACGGGCTTCTGCACATCCAACGGCTCGGAGATATCCATGACGAGGGCGCGATCGAAAACGGCAATGTTGCACGTGGTCTGGCTCTTTATGTCCCGCCCCAATTCGAAAGGAGTCTTCTCCTTCTCCTCGCGATTCAGGAACGGCGTAATGCTGCGCCACGTCGAGGGCGTGGCACTGCGTCGGGTCATATAGAGGGTGAACGGTGTCTGACTCCGGCCGTGTATCGGCGTGGAGCTGCGTCCGCGTAAGCTTCCCGGAGTTGGTGATTTGAGTTTTCGCTTTTTTTGCGTTGGCACCTGCAAGGTGTCCTGGGCTGCTGGCGCATCTGGTTCGGCAGATGCCCGTGGCTCGATATCTCCATCCGTTTCTCCCATTTTTATTGGTCTCGGACCTTTTTTTGAAAGGTGTTTTATGGAAGGATAACGAGGGAATGGAGTTCGTTATGTTAAACCGATAAAAATTATATCCGTCCGACTTTATATACTATATAGCCCGCAACGGTTCGATCGATAGTTTTTTAGGACGTGAGACGTCCGCTCGAAGCAAAAGAAGATTCACGACTGTCACCGAACGTGGTGAAATATTCGAAAATACATTCCTTCTCGAATCGCATCGAACCGAACCAATCTGTTCCGATCTGATCCTCATTCCCAATCAATTGTTATGCTAGAAACTATTTTACGAATTCTGTTTTGTTTCGCCGAGAAGTGTTCGCACAATCACACGAGCACACACATGCAACATTCAGTGCCAAAATGCATTTCTATTTAAATACTTTTCCACTTTTAATGAATGCAGGCAGTAAATGCAAATGCAAATTCAATTATATAAATGAGGCGGCGCGCGGCTGCCATTCGAATTAAACGATCTATTTAAATAGGTTTCTATTTAAATGCTATGATAATGATGGACCTCCGTGATGCCTTATTTACCTTCAAATCTCAACACATGCCATATTTGCGAACCGAAAGTGTAGAACGATTTGTTGAGTTTTTTATTAGTCAATGCCCAAGGAATACACGCAAATTAAAAGTTATTATTATTATTAGTTGTTCTGGGTTGTTACTATTCGACATGAGGCGTTGCCTATTTAGGCGCCACACCCTTTGTCGTGCGATTATCATTGGAGTGTAAACCGGAAACACTATGCATTCCTTTTCTCAGGAGATTTTTGTACTCTCAATTGACAAAATATTTCTCAAGCCAAATATATACCTGCATAGTATGTATTATATAAATATAATATAATATAATTAGTACTTAGTCAAGAGCAGCCTTACACACACTTGCTTCCTATATACTATGCCTATTTACTTTATACCTTATACAATAAATGTGTACGTGTATGCCAAGTCAAGATGCATAAATGCAAAGAATTGAAATATTTCACTTTAATTGAGTTTTAAATTCGGGCATTAGATCACTAGGTAGAATAGGTAGAACAGGGCATGATTGCCGCCACTTACCTCGAATGTTGCGTGTAAATATTGGCGGGGTGCCAAATTTGCTCGAAGGTGCTTCGTATATAGTCACAAGACAGCTAGTTTCGACTTCTCCATTTTGGTTGGACGCTATGCAGCGGTAGATGCCAGAATCATTTAGTTCGGCCGATTTAATTTCAAGGCACGAGAGGCCGTCGTTCAATGTTTTCCTGTACTTGGCCCCATTCTCGATCGGAGTGTTCTGCTTAAACCACTCCACCCTCATATCGTGTCCAGATAGCCCGCAGGTCAACTTAAGATCACTGCCCGACGCCGTATTTCGATTGGTTAACTGTATGTCCACGGTGGGTTTACGCTTAGCACTACGTGATTCCTTTCTATCCTTGTACTCCGAGTCCATTGATTTATAGGATCGCGTACTAATGGCGTCAGCAGGTTCATCCACTCTTTGATTTCTCTCAACATCACATTGAGAGCTAGGTTTTCTTTCGTCAATAATATTGTCTTCAGAAACAATTTTTCTTGATTCTGATCTATGAGCTGTCTCTATTGAGACTTTCTCGGATGTCTTCACCTCAACGGCCTCGATTACTTCCACTTTCTTAGAGTCGTGTTCGGCTTCCTTCTCAGTCGGCTTTTGTTTCTTGTAATCCAGTTTCTCCGGGGCATCCGTCTTCGTGACTTCTTTTAACTTTTCTTCGAACATCTTTTCAGTAACAACCTCAGATTCTTCTGACTTCTGGACAGTATTTTCGGCATCCTTCTCAGTTTGCTTCTGTTTCTTGTCATCCAGTGGTTTCTCCTCGAGTTTTTGCTTCTCCAACGCCATTGCTTTCTGTACCTTAGCCTTGGAATCCCTAACATCCGCTTTCTTGCTTTCTTCAACCTGTTCTTCAGATGTTTTTTCAGCAATAACCTCAGATTCCTCTGCCTTCTGGACCATCTTTTCGGCATCCTTCTCAGTTTGCTTCTGTTTCTTCTCATCCAGTTGTTTCTCCTCAAGTTGATGCTTCTCCAGAGCCTTTGCTTTCTGTGACCTAGCCTTGGAATCCTTGACATCTGCCTTCTTGCTTTCTTCTACCTGTTCTTTAGATATTTTTTCAGCAATAACCTCAGATTCTTCTGCCTTCTGGACCATCTTTTCGGCATCCTTCTCAGTTTGTTTCTGCTTCTTCTCATCCAGTTGTTTCTCCTCGAGCTCTTGCTTCTCCAACGCCTCTGCTTTCTGGGCCTTAGCCTCGGAATCCTTGACATCGGCCTTCTTGTTTTTTTCAACCTCCTCTTTGGATTTCTTTTCAGCAACAACATCAGATCCTTCTGCCTTCTGGGCCATCTTTTCAGCATCCTTCTCAGTTTGCTTCTGTTTCTTCTCATCCAGTTGTTTCTCCTCAAGTTGATGCTTCTCCAGAGCCTTTGCTTTCTGTGACCTAGCCTTGGAATCCTTGACATCTGCCTTCTTGCTTTCTTCTACCTGTTCTTTAGATATTTTTTCAGCAATAACCTCAGATTCTTCTGCCTTCTGGACCATCTTTTCGGCATCCTTCTCAGTTTGTTTCTGCTTCTTCTCATCCAGTTGTTTCTCCTCGAGCTCTTGCTTCTCCAACGCCTCTGCTTTCTGGGCCTTAGCCTCGGAATCCTTGACATCGGCCTTCTTGTTTTTTTCAACCTCCTCTTTGGATTTCTTTTCAGCAACAACCTCAGATCCTTCTGCCTTCTGGGCCATCTTTTCAGCATCCTTCTCAGTTTGCTTCTGTTTCTTCTCATCCAGTTGTTTCTCCTCAAGTTGATGCTTCTCCAGAGCCTTTGCTTTCTGTGACCTAGCCTTGGAATCCTTGACATCTGCCTTCTTGTTTTCTTCTACCTGTTCTTTAGATATTTTTTCAGCAATAACCTCAGATTCTTCTGCCTTCTGGACCATCTTTTCGGCATCCTTCTCAGTTTGTTTCTGCTTCTTCTCATCCAGTTGTTTCTCCTCGAGCTCTTGCTTCTCCAACGCCTCTGCCTTCTGGGCCTTAGCCTCGGAATCCTTGACATCGGCCTTCTTGTTTTTTTCAACCTCCTCTTTGGATTTCTTTTCAGCAACAACCTCAGATCCTTCTGCCTCCTGGGCCATCTTTTCGGCATCCTTCTCAGTTTGCTTCTGTTTCTTGTCCTCAAGTTGTTTCTCCTCGAGTTGTTGCTTCTCCAGAGCCTTTGCTTTTCCTGCCATAGCCTCGGAATCCTTGACATCGGCCTTCTTGTTTTTTTCAACCTCCTCTTTGGATTTCTTTTCAGCAACAACCTCAGATCCTTCTGCCTCCTGGGACATCTTTTCGGCATCCTTCTCAGTTTGCTTCTGTTTCTTGTCCTCAAGTTGTTTCTCCTCGAGTTGTTGCTTCTCCAGAGCCTTTGCTTTCTGTGCCTTAGCCTCGGAAACCTTGACATCGGCCTTCTTGTTTTCTTCAACCTCCTCTTTGGATTTCTTTTCAGCAACAACCTCAGATCCTTCTGCCTTCTGGGCCATCTTTTCGGCATCCTTCTCAGTTTTCTTCTGTTTCTTCCCATCCAGTTGTATCTCCTCGAGTTCTTGCTTCTCCAGTGCCTTTCCTTTCTGTGCCTTAGCCTCGGCATCCTTGACATCTGCCTTCTTGCTTTCTTCTACCTGTTCTTCAGATATTTTTTCAGCAATAACTTCAGATTCTTCTGCCTTCTGGACCATCTTTTCGGCATCCTTCTCAGTTTGCTTGTGTTTCTTGTCATCCAGTTGTTTCTCCTCGAGTTGTTGCTTCTCCAGTGCCTTTGCTTTCTGTACCTTAGCCTCGGAATCCTTGACATCGGCCTTCTTGCTTTCTTCTACCTGTTCTTCAGATATTTTTTCAGCAATAACTTCAGATTCTTCTGCCTTCTGGACCATCTTTTCGGCATCCTTCTCAGTTTGTTTCTGTTTCTTGTCATCGAGTTGTTTATCCTCGAGTTGTTGCTTCTCCAGAGCCTTTGCTTTCTGTGCCGTAGCCTTGGAATCTTTGACATCGACCTTCTTGCTTTCTTCAACCTTTTCTTCGGGTATCTTTTCAGCAACAACCTCAGAATCGTCTGCCTGTTGGGTAATTTTTTTGGCATAGTCCGCAGCTTTCTTTTGTGTTTTCTCATCCAGTTGTTTCTCTTCGAGTTCAGACATCTTTTCAGAAAGAACGTCAGAGAGTTTAGCTTTCTTGGCCTTGTCTGCATCCTCTTCAGCGTGCGTCTGCATCTTATCATCCAGTTGCTGTTCTTGGATGGATTGTTTCTCCAAAGTCTTAGCCTCTGAAAGTTTTGATTCTTCATCAAGTTTCTTGATATCTTCCACCTTTTCTACGGATATCTGTTTGGTAAGAAGTTCAGGCTCTGTAATTTCTTCTGCTTCCTTATGTTGACTTTGTTTGCCAATCAAGTCTTTCAGATCTTCACAAATGTTCAACATCTTCTGCGTAACATTGTGAATCTTTCCATGGACAATAGCAGTATGAAGATCTCCTTGTTTCTTTTCAATATAGTCATACTCGCCGAGCAAAATCGTCTTAATTTCATCAATCTTTGGCTTTAAGATTTCCGTCTTTTCGTCTAGTAGGTCATCAAGTATTATAAAAATGTCCATTAGATTCTGTTGCAAGCTGATCATCTTTTCAGATGACTTATCTAAATGTTGCGTAGACTGAATTTTCTCAGAAATCCTTTCCAGACTAACTAGTTTCGGCACCAACAAGGATGGTTTGGTGATCATGTCGCTCTCGTCGATAAGCTGAATGGAAGCTTTAGTTAAAATTACATTTGTCTTAATTTCCTTAAGATAGTTGTGAATTAGTTGCTCAGCAGCGTCTGGGCAGGCCGCAAGAAGGTCTTCGATAAACTCTTCCGCGAGTTGCTTATCATATTGTTCATTGCCTGGCTTTCCGTCATAGGTGTGAACGATATGTTCTCGTAATTTAAAAATGGACTTGGCTACCTTGTCAACATCACTGAGATTTTCGATAATATCTTGGCTTTCTGTTACAATTGATTGGAATGCCTCGTTATGTATGCCGAGAGCAACCGCCTGGGATATAATCAATAACTTTTCCTTTAAAGTATCTAGACTTTGGGCCTTCTTATCAGCTTCTGTCTCAACCTGCTTTAGCCTTTTTTCAACCACTTCTTGTTCCTCGTTAAATTGCCTCTCCAAAACCGATTGTTCTTGGGGTTCTTCAGAAACGTCTGCTTTCTTGGCTTTTTCTACGTCCTTCTCATCCTGCTTTTGCTTGATCTCATTCAGTTGTTTTGCTGAGACAGACTGTTTGTCCAAAGCCTTTGTCCCTTGAGGCTTGGATGTCGGATCCGTAACAATAGTTTTGATTATTTCTTCTGTCGGTTCGTCAGAAACCTTTTCAGTCAGAGCTTCGGATACCTCCCCTTTCTGGGCCATCTTTTCGGCATCCTTCTCAGTTTGCTTCTGTTTCTTGTCATCCAGTTGTTTCTCCTCGAGTTGTTGCTTCTCCAAAGACTTTGCTTTCTGTGCCTTAGCCTCGGAATCCTTGACATCGGCCTTCTTGCTTTCTTCAAGTTTTTCTTCAGATATTTTTTCAGCAACAACCTCAGATTCTTCTGCCTTCTGGACCATCTTTTCGGCATCCTTCTCAGTTTGCTTCTCTTTCTTCTCATCCAGTTGTATCTCCTCGAGTTCTTGCTTTTCCAGTGCCTTTTCTTTCTGCGCCTTAGCCTCGGCAACCTTGACATCGGCCTTCTTGATTTCTTCTACCTGTTCGTCAGATATTTTTTCAGCAACAACCTCAGATTCTTCTGCCTTCTGGACCATCTTTTCGGCATCCTTCTCAGTTTGCTTCCGTTTCTTCTCATCCAGTTGTTTCTCCTCGATTTCTTGCTTCTCCAGAGCCGTTGCTTTCTGTGCCTTAGCCTCGGCATCCTTGACATCAGCCTTCTTGCTTTCTTCAAGTTTTTCTTCAGATATTTTTTCAGCAACAACCTCAGATCCTTCTGCCTTCTGGGCCATCTTTTCGGCATCCTTCTCAGTTTGCTTCTGTTTCTTGTCATCCAGTTGTTTCTCCTCGAGTTCTTGCTTCTCCAGAGCCTTTGCTATCTGTGCCTTAGCCTCGACATCCTTGACATCTGCCTTCTTGTTTTCTTCAAGTTTTTCTTCAGATATTTTTTCAGCAACAACCTCAGATCCTTCTGCCTTCTGGACCATCTTTTCGGCATCCTTCTCAGTTTGCTTCTGTTTCTTGTCATCCAGTAGTTTCTCCTCGAGTTGTTGCTTCTCCAAAGACTTTGCTTTCTGTGCCTTAGCCTCGGCATCCTTGACATCTGCCTTTTTGCTTTCTTCAAGTTTTTCTTCAGATATTTTTTCAGAAACAACCTCAGATCCTTCTGCCTTCTGGACCATCTTTTCGGCATCCTTCTCAGTTTGCTTCTGTTTCTTCTCATCCAGTTGTTTCTCCTCGATTTCTTGCTTCTCCAGAGCCTTTGCTTTCTGTGCCTTAGCCTCGGCATCCTTGACATCTGCCTTCTTGCTTTCTTCAAGTTTTTCTTCAGATATTTTTTCAGCAACAACCTCAGATCCTTCTGCCTTCTGGACCATCTTTTCGGCATCCTTCTCAGTTTGCTTCTGTTTCTTCTCATCCAGTTGTTTCTCCTCGATTTCTTGCTTCTCCAGAGCCTTTGCTTTCTGTGCCTTAGCCTCGGCATCCTTGACATCTGCCTTCTTGCTTTCTTCAAGTTTTTCTTCAGATATTTTTTCAGCAACAACCTCAGATTCTTCTGCCTTCTGGACCATCTTTTCGGCACCCTTCTCAGTTTGCTTCTGTTTCTTCTCATCCAGTTGTTTCTCCTCGAGTTCTTGCTTCTCCAGAGACTTTGCTATCTGTGCCTTAGCCTCGGCATCCTTGACATCTGCCTTCTTGCTTTCTTCAAGTTTTTCTTCAGATATTTTTTCAGCAACAACCTCAGATTCTTCTGCCTTCTGGACCATCTTTTCGGCATCCTTCTCAGTTTGCTTCTCTTTCTTCTCATCCAGTTGTTTATCCTCGAGTTCTTGCTTCTCCAGTGCCTTTTCTTTTTGTGCCTTAGCCTCGGCAACCTTGACATCGGCCTTCTTGCTTTCTTCTACCTGTTCGTCAGATATTTTTTCAGCAACAACCTCAGATTCTTCTGCCTTCTGGACCATATTTTCGGCATCCTTCTCAGTTTGCTTCTGTTTCTTCCCATCCAGTTGTTTCTCCTCGAGTTCTTGCTTCTCCAGTGCCTTTCCTTTCTGTGCCTTAGCCTCGGCATCCTTGACATCTGCCTTCTTGCTTTCTTCTGCATGTTCGTCAGATATTTTTTCAGCAACAACCTCAGATTCTTCTGCCTTCTGGACCATCTTTTCGGCATCCTTCTCAGTTTGCTTCTTTTTCTTCCCATCCAGTTGTTTCTCCTCGAGTTCTTGCTTCTCCAGAGCCTTTGCTTTTCCTGCCATAGCCTCGGAATCCTTGACATCGGCCTTCTTGCTTTCTTCTACCTGTTCGTCAGATATTTTTTCAGCAACAACCTCAGATTCTTCTGCCTTCTGGACCATCTTTTCGGCATCCTTCTCAGTTTGCTTCTGTTTCTTCCCATCCAGTTGTTTCTCCTCGAGTTCTTGCTTCTCCAGTGCCTTTTCTTTCTGTGCCTTAGCCTCGGCAACCTTGACATCGGCCTTCTTGCTTTCTTCTACCTGTTCGTCAGATATTTTTTCAGCAACAACCTCAGATTCTTCTGCCTTCTGGACCATCTTTTCGGCATCCTTCTCAGTTTGCTTCTGTTTCTTCCCATCCAGTTGTATCTCCTCGAGTTCTTGCTTCTCCAGTGCCTTTGCTTTTCCTGCCATAGCCTCGGAATCCTTGACATCGGCCTTCTTGCTTTCTTCTACCTGTTCGTCAGATATTTTTTCAGCAACAACCTCAGATTCTTCTGCCTTCTGGACCATCTTTTCGGCATCCTTCTCAGTTTGCTTCTGTTTCTTCCCATCCAGTTGTTTCTCCTCGAGTTCTTGCTTCTCCAGTGCCTTTGCTTTCTGTACCTTAGCCTCGGCATCCTTGACATCTGCCTTCTTGCTTTCTTCTACCTGTTCTTCAGATATTTTTTCAGCAATAACTTCAGATTCTTCTGCCTTCTGGACCATCTTTTCGGCATCCTTCTCAGTTTGCTTGTGTTTCTTGTCATCCAGTTGTTTCTCCTCGAGTTGTTGCTTCTCCAGTGCCTTTGCTTTCTGTACCTTAGCCTCGGAATCCTTGACATCGGCCTTCTTGCTTTCTTCTACCTGTTCTTCAGATATTTTTTCAGCAATAACTTCAGATTCTTCTGCCTTCTGGACCATCTTTTCGGCATCCTTCTCAGTTTGTTTCTGTTTCTTGTCATCGAGTTGTTTATCCTCGAGTTGTTGCTTCTCCAGAGCCTTTGCTTTCTGTGCCGTAGCCTTGGAATCTTTGACATCGACCTTCTTGCTTTCTTCAACCTTTTCTTCGGGTATCTTTTCAGCAACAACCTCAGAATCTTCTGCCTGTTGGGTAATTTTTTTGGCATAGTCCTCAGCTTTCTTTTGTGTTTTCTCATCCAGTTTTTTCTCTTCGAGTTCAGACATCTTTTCAGAAAGAACGTCAGAGAGTTTAGCTTTCTTGGCCTTGTCTGCATCCTCTTCAGCGTGCGTCTGCATCTTATCATCCAGTTGCTGTTCTTGGATGGATTGTTTCTCCAAAGTCTTAGCCTCTGAAAGTTTTGATTCTTCATCAAGTTTCTTGATATCTTCCACCTTTTCTACGGATATCTGTTTGGTAAGAAGTTCAGGCTCTGTAATTTCTTCTGCTTCCTTATGTTGAGTTTGTTTGCCAATCAAGTCTTTCAGATCTTCACAAATGTTCAACATCTTCTGCGTAACATTGTGAATCTTTCCATGGACAATAGCAGTATGAAGATCTCCTTGTTTCTTTTCAATATAGTCATACTCGCCGAGCAAAATCGTCTTAATTTCATCAATCTTTGGCTTTAAGATTTCCGTCTTTTCGTCTAGTAGGTCATCAAGTATTATAAAAATGTCCATTAGATTCTGTTGCAAGCTGATCATCTTTTCAGATGACTTATCTAAATGTTGCGTAGACTGAATTTTCTCAGAAATCCTTTCCAGATTAACTAGTTTCGGCACCAACAAGGATGGTTTGGTGAACATGTCGCTCTCGTCGATAAGCTGAATGGAAGCTTTAGTTAAAATTACATTTGTCTTAATTTCCTTAAGATAGTTGTGAATTAGTTGCTCAGCAGCGTCTGGGCAGGCCGCAAGAAGGTCTTCGATAAACCCTTCCGCGAGTTGCTTATCATATTGTTCATTTCCTGGCTTTCCGTCATAGGTGTGAACGATATGTTCTCGTAATTTAAAAATGGACTTGGATACCTTGTCAACATCACTGATATTTTCGATAATATCTTGGCTTTCTGTCACAATTGATTTCAATGCCTCGCTATTTGTGTTGAGAGCAAGTGCCTTGGATAGATCCAAGAACTTTTCCTTCAAAGTTTCTGACTTTTGTGTCTTCTTGTCAGCATCCTCCCCGGTGTGAATTTCTTTTTTAGTATCGGCCTGCAGTTCTTCAACTGGCATCCCACTTCCTTTGACCTCTTCTTCTGATATCTGTCCAGGAGTCTCAGATATATATCTATATCTATCTACATTTTGATCATCTTGCCTGACATCCTTCTCAGCTGACGGAATAGGTTCATCGATTACCTTTGGCTTTTTGGTTTCGGGTTCAGTGTCTTCCCAAAGGACCTCTTTCTCTTCTGATTCCTGTGCCGATTCCGATTCTTTATGGAGTTCAGCAAGTGAAACATTCAGTTCTGTTAGCTTCTCTTTGAGATTATTCAGTTGCAGCTGCAGGGTTTCTATGAGAGTGAATTGCTGTGCGGTTATCTGCGTTAGTTGAGGCTGACAAAGAATTTCTTTCTCTATTTGAATTAGTGTTGCTTCCAACTGAGCAATATCCTCCGTGTTTTCGTCGAGCAAAAGAATGCTTTGGGGATTGTTGGCTTGCAGTCCCTCCTCGATTTCAGTTAGGAAGGCTTTACCTGACGATACGTTTTCGATTATCATTCCAATGTCTATGGGCACTGTCTGTTCAAATGGAATCAGGTTCAGGGTGTTCAAGTCACCAGTAATGGAATCGATTTCCTGCAACAGTTCTATGATTCGAATCGAGTTCTCGTTGTTCTCAATGAAATCAAATACGGTCACCAGGCTGGTCTGGGTTTTTAGCAGGTCACCCAATAGTTCACTGCTGGCCGCTTCGCTAACCTCATTGAGACTTCTGAATGCAGCCATCAGACTAGTCTGTAGCTGAACTACTACCGCAGATGATTTATCAACATCAACGTTGGGTTGAGCGGCTACAGCTTGTATGGAATGCAAAAGATTCCCAATGGGTGCCTTCAGGGTGATAAGCTCCTGTGCTTCTGCACTCTGGCAATGGACAACGAAGTTCTTGAAGACTTGCTCGATTTTGCCAAACATCTCCTCTGCCAATTGTGTCTCTAGAACTGGCAAAGAAAGTAGTATGTCCTCGAAAGCACTCTCCACATTCTCCAAAGAGTCAACCAGTCCCGATTCGTAGGTGTGCACTAGACACTCCTTCAATTTGAACATGGTCCGAGCTATTTTCGCCTGAGCCAAGACAGTTTCCTGCTGATCGTTGTCCGAGACAAGGGCGGCTTGAATGCTCTTTAGATCTGACTTTAGCTGCTCCATTATTTCACCCACTTGCTGGAGTTCTTTGCTGGCATCGGTCTGGGTGACCTCCAGGCAGGCCTCGAGCTGTTTGATGCCACTCGCCACACCTTGCTTTATATTAAAAAATTCGACCATTGGCTCTTCCTCCACGGCAGCTACCCCTTGGATGTTATCCGAAACGGTTTGCTTATGCCCACTGGTCTTAAGGTCCGAGATATCGTCCTGCGTGGATAAATCGATGGCATGCTCCAACACATGAGTATCGATCTGTTCACAGTATTCCCTTACATCGCGCAGCTGTGTGGCCAATGTTTTAAGTTTTGAAAGTTCCAGTTCACTTATATTCTCGACTCCACTGTGGGCAATACACTCCTCCACATGCAGGACACAGCGCTCCAGGCTGCAGAGGGCCTCGGCAAAAGTGCCCTGATGACTGGACTCCGACAAAGAATGAGCAGCCTCCACGAAGTTTGTCTCCTGCACCAGAGCGATGCTGTTCTGTAGTGCCTGCATCTTGACTTTCACTGCATGGACCTGCTGGCCAGCATTGCTAGCTAGAGAAGTCACATCAACGTCTTCACAATAAGATAAAACCGAAGCTATTCCATGGTTTAGGTCTGCAAGCAAGGCACCTACATTTGGTATAGGTTTCTCGCCGCTTAAGGGCTCTGCTTCGGGCTCCGTGGGCAATGACTCTGCAATCGACTTTAGCACTGAGACATCGTCCAATGTTTCCGATAGATCTTCCACAGATGCCCTCAAAGGGTGAACTCTTTCGAGCACTTGAATCAGGCTAGTGAGCGGACCGGCTATGCTGAGTTTCTCGTCTGATCTCTGATTCTGTTGGCCAACAAGTTCGCTAAAATGATGAAGGGCATTTAAGAAATCACCTTCCAACTGAGCTGCTGGATTATCAAGGGCTCTGGCCAGGTCAGCAAAGCTTTTACCACACTCGAACAAGAGTCTGGATGTGTTTGCCTCGTTCACGTCGAGAGTACTCTCCGCCTCGCTGAAGGTTGCCAGCCCCTTGGCAATCTGCAGGATACGCAAAAGCGATACTTGAGCTTCGTTTGCGGATGCCTTGAGAATATCACTGGCTCTGGGGCTTTCAGTCATTTTGTTTAATGCCACCTGCAGTGTTTCAATGTTACTAATGGCCTCATCAAGGGAGACTTTTGTCTCGAGCACTCGCCGTAAAGCGCTAAATGATTTGTCCTGCTGCTGCGAGGCCTGCTGTTCATCCTCCTGTATCTCTTGCTGAAGAATCTTAAACTCGTGCTCTTCAATATCGATAATTGCGTTGCGAATGATGCTTCTAATGTTGTCGAGCGTTTGCAGTGCCTGCTGATCGGGCTCTCGTGCAATGAGTAGCAGGCCATGGCCCTTCTGGGTATTATCCTGCAACATGCTCAGTGGCTCAATTAGATCTGCTAACGAGCCGGAAATAGTCTTGACCTCTGTCTGGCGAATACAGTAGTTGAGTTCATCCACCGGCCGCTTGAGCCTGTCGAGCAGCTCCACGTGATGCCTGGTTATATCTCTGTCTAGGATGGTGCCAATCAATGCCGATAGCTCATCCTTCAGATTTAGCAAGCGGACTTTCACATTCGACGAGAGGCGAGGCGAAATCCTCTCAATGTTAGTTTCAAAATGTAAAACAGCCTGGGCAAACGACTGCAGGAGTTTTTGCGTATCGGCCACATCCAGTGCGGGCTCGGATCGGAGGTCTTGCTCTGCCACCTCAGTCATCGCGGCCTGGCCACTTTCCAGATCTTGTCCTAGCTGCGCCAGGCCATTCTGTATCTCCTGCAGGGGCGGCACCATCGATTCCACGGTGCTAACTGTAAGCATGCCTCCCTCCACACTGTCAGATTTCTCGTTAAGAATAACCTCGAGTCCCTTATTGAGCTCGAACAGCGGCGGCGTTACAATATCAAGGATGGCCATATTGATTTTCTGCTCCATCGACTCGGATCCTGCCAGGGATTCGGTCTTGTCTTCGATGGACTGCAGGGTACTCTGCAGCTGTTTAATGGGCTCCACAATGCTTTCGAGCACTTTCTGATGCACTTTCTTGTAGATCTGCTCCTCCGAGTCCTCCAGCGAGAGCTCCATCTCCACACGTTCCAGTGCCTCTTGTATCCTTGCCACTGGATGGCAAATCTCCTTGAGAGCGCTCGCTTCGCTGGGCAAATTGGCTTCCGATATGGTGGCAAAGGATACAGAGTCGGGCACATCCTGCATCTTCTCGACGGCTTCGGTAAAATGCTTAGCTGCCTCCAATTCCTGTGCCTCCTGAAGCAGTGCCTGCGACTTAATGGTGCCCTGGGTAATATCCAGCCCCTGCTGGATGTCATCGGCGGTGAGCTCTATTTGTGCCCTTAGGCACTCCGACTCAAATCGTCGGCTGACGATTTTCAGCTCTTCCAGGGCCCGCTTCATTTGATCTGCTACGCTGTCAATGATGCAGACACTGGTGCGCTGTATGAGCGTTGCCCCAGTCTCATCTATCTCCACACACTTTTCAATTACCTGCAAGCCCATGTGGAGTTTGCGTATGTCCTCGTCCATGGACTGGATGAGGCCATCGATCTGTGTCTCGCCAGAGTAGACGCGTAGCTTCGATTCGATTTGCTTGATAGGATCAATAATGTTACGGATGATTGCAATGCTCTGATCTGCGGCAGCCGCCGTCATCATCATGGTGGACTGCTCCACCACCTCGTTCTCCACTACCGTGAGATATTTCTCAATTACCTTGAGAAGCTTTGCTAGGGGCACTAGGGCCATAAGATTTCGATTGATTTCACTCTCGTCGGTGACTGCTTTTGGGTGGGATTTTGGGGTCACCAAGAGACCATCACCCACTGCACCGGAAATGTCCTGCAGCCGTGCCTCATCCTCATTGGTCTTTGATGAATCACTGTCGGCTGATGGCTTCTTGGACTTTTTCCTCTTTGGTGCCGACAATGACTCTGGGTCCTGCTCCGGACTGGCCTGAGATGCTGAATGGGTGGCCACCTTCTGTGATGTGGACATTTGGGCACTGGCAAAGGTCTGCAGATCCGATGTCTCTTCCTCCCCTTCCTGGCTACCCGATGCCGAGGCCTTGGACAGGCTGAAGAACTCATCTGTCTCAGTGGGTCGCGACTTTTTCCGCTTCCGTATGGGGGCCGACAGCGACAGTTCCTCCTCCATTTTCTCAAAGGATTCTTGCACATATTGCTGCGTCTCTTTGTCGAGTTTTCCTTCTCTTCCGGACGACCCATGCACTGTGATCTCTGTAATTGATATGTCATCCATATCCGCCTCGGTGCGCATATCCTCCTCATGGCTGAAATACTCGGGCGCTATATCAATGACAACAGCCTCCATCAGTAGCTTTCCCGACTGCGAAGTCTCCTTGACAAAGCGCAACGGTGGCAGCTCAACGATATTGTGCTCCGTCACGTGCTCAGATATTTGATCTGCATACATTTCGACAATTTTGAGGGCCTCCTCCTCGGTGAGATCCGGCGTTTCGTAGAGCGAAACGGAGACCTCTTTGCCATCGAAGGAGAATGACACATCACCCTTCTCGTCAATGGTTATGTCCCCAACGGGCGTCTCATACATCTGGGATGTGCGCTCCTCTTGAATTGTGGAGAGCGAGTAGTTCCTCTGCAGCTCGTTTTCGTGCTGCGGCTCACTCTTCTGGCCCTGGCTCTGACTTCTTTGGGCGTCCTCAAAGCCCAGCAGCGATGCAGAGCTGGCGACGACACCCATGCAATTCCTGGCCTCGCATGTGTACGTGCCCAGGCAGCAAGTGCCATCCTGGCCAGAGATGATTCGATGAATATCGCCGGGTTTCAGTTCCACACCATCCTTATACCACTTGAGCACCGGCTGGGGCACGCCAATGACCTTGCACTCGAGATTTACGGCTCCCTCCTCGGTGAGCACCGCTCTCAGACACTCGAGGAAGCGAGGCTTCTTATAGTGCCGGGGTATCTGAAGCTTAAGGAAGCAAGACGTTATGCTGGTGCCAAAATCATTGACGGCAACACACTTCCATTCGGCCTGATCCACAAACTCGACGGCCTTTATGTCCAGCAGCCAGCAGTCATCGTTCTCGCCACGATAGTGATTATATCTGTCGTTCGGATCGATGGGCAGCTCATCCCGAAACCAGGACAGTATGGGATCCGGGGTGGCCTTCACCACCACCTTGAACTGGAAGGGTTCGTTGATTTTGGCATCGGTGCTCTTTAGGCCCGTCAGAAACTTGGGTGCCTGGTTCTGTTGCGTGAATACCATGCGCTCCTCATCGGTAAGCTGATTTTGTATGTCCTCCACAGTGAGCACGGCCGTACTGCTCGTCTCTCCCATGCAGTTACGCGCAATGCAGCAGTAGGTCCCCAGGGAATTGGTTCCTGTCAGCTGGTAAACATCACCAGGCTTCAATTCATGGCCATCCTTGAACCATTTGAGCACTGGCGTTGGGAAGCCCACCACTTTACACTCAAAGGAGACAAGACCCTCTTCAGTTAGAACGGCACGAAGGCTCTCCATGAACCGAGGCTTGCGATAGTTTCTGGGAACTGTAAAGGAATTTATCAAAATTAATTTCGTAAAGAATCTCTCGTTAATCTTCACTCACTGTCCATGTTAACTGCACAGGTGGAGATGCCCACACATCCCTCAAAGCTGGTGACCACACATTTCCATTCCCCGGCATCGCAGGACTCCGATGGCTTAATCTCGATCATGTAGACGCCCAGGCCATCTTCAATCAGTTTATATCGCTCGGCGGTCTCCACACGTCCATCCGTGTTGTACCAACTGACGCTCTTGGGCCAGGGCGGCACCACCACTGAAAAGAAAACAATTTTAGCATACTCAAAGATATGATACAATGGTGAGAGCGAAAGGCGCGAGAACATTGTCTGTTGTTTGTCGCTCACTGCCTCCGCATTTTTTATTTCCTTCTCTCGGTAGGCAGGCAGCAAAGCAATTATCAGTTTTGTTTTGGTCGCGCACTCACTGTGATGCGATGCTGTTGACCTGCCTCAACATTTGAGGCATTCCAACCATTTAATCGAGTTCAAGTTTCTAGAGCACGATCGCCGTGGTCTAAAAACAAACAAGCGCCGGCGAGAATTGAACTATATTCGCAGATATACGAATACGAATGCGAGTGCGAACCACAAGTGTCCGAGTGCTCGAGAGAAAGATAAACAAAAATGCTTTGGCACTGGGCCAACAGGAGATCAGACACGAAACGAACGACGTCTGCGTATTGCTCACCTTGACAGCCGAGAATGATTGTCTCGCCGATGTGGATGCTCATGTCCCGCAGTTCGTTTGTGAATATCGGAGGCGGCGCATTGCTCGAAACGCTGCAGAAAGAGAAGCATCAGAATCAGCATCAACATCACTGAAGAGTTGCTGCACTAAAGAGTACTGCACTCGACTCACTTGTCCGCTGGCTTTAGAGAGCCCTCCCGACTGCCGCGTCCCACCACATGAACCTTGGAGCTAGAATAGGTGACGCCCATGCAGTTCCTCGCCTCGCAGGTGTACGTCCCGAGAGATGTGGGATCATCGGCATTGGCGGTCAGTGCAAAGATATCGCCAGCCTTGATCTCCTTGGAGTCCTTGAACCAGCGCAAGTGTGGCGTGGGCACCCCCACCACCTTGCACTCCAGCGAAACAGTTCCCTGTTCTGTCAGAACGGCCCGCAGCTCCTCCACAAACTCGGGCGTCTTGTACGCCTTGGGAACCAGCACGTTCATAGTGCCCAGACACGAGTTTCGACCGCCAAAATTTTCCGCCATCAGCATCCACTGACCGCCATCATCCAATGTCACGGGGCTCACTTCCAGGTAATGAAACGTGCCCTCGTTGATCTCTGTAATTCGATCATTCTCACACACTCTCCTGTCGTTTCTGTACCATGTAAGCTGCGAAATTGCATAATAATTAAGTGATTTGCAAATTATCTATTCTCAAAACTGTGTTGCAAAATGTCGACAATGAAGTATCGATAGTTGTATATCGGAGAGGCCATTTTCTTCGTTTTTGATTTGTTTTGGTTTTTTTGTGTACCTTAAGATCTGTTGAGCTGCGTATTTCGGTGAGGAGACGTGTTCGTGTACCCACTTTGACAGAGAGATCGACCAGGCGCCGCAGGAACACAGGCGGATCGTCTCCGGTCGATCTGTCCTCGACAATGAGTTCGACGTGCCTGCGCACCACATCGTTGCTTTTCGTTCGTGCGAACAGCGTGTAATGCCCGGCATCCTCCCGCTGCACGTGCTCCACGGCCAGCTGGACGGCATTGCTGGTTTGCGTTATCCGAAAGCGATCGGAGTTCTCAATGGGTATCTCCCCACGGCTCCTGAAAGTGAAAGATTAATGCCACACCAAGAAGTGGCCATGATCCGGTGTGAGTAGACGTAAAGGGGCAGTACGGAGCGGGAGAAAGAATAAAATCTATTTATGTATGGCTAAAATGTAGGATTCACCTTTTCCTGTAGACGGACGAGGCCGAGGACAGCGTGCCGTTGATCTGTTTATGTTCGTTGCACTGACAGCATTTGGAACATCCGTTGCCCATGGCGTTCGACTGGCTAGGGCCTGCTTATAATTTCTGTTCAAATAATAACCGCCCCGCCAGCTATTCGGTTCTCGTTCTCTTGTTCTCGTTCGCTATTTGCTTTTGATTGATTGATTTGTCTAATTTTAAAACATAAAAGAAGGCTAGATGCCTTCAACACTCTTGCAGTCCCAGATCGTAAATATGACAGCTATATGATTAAGTGATCAGATTTTAAACTGAAATTTGTAGTAAAATCATTTACAAAACATAAAGTTTGGTCTGCTTTTAGAAACAAGAAACTCTCACAAAGACTTGTTGTATGAGAACGATCAATCCTGGGCAATATATCAGATTTGTTGACTATCAAACTAAAGGACTAGCTTACTTATCGACAACACATGACTATATTCTTTAAATGATCGGAAATACACGCTTCTCTACGTGCTTCTCACTATCCCCAAGAGTATAATGAACATATAATACACGTACCCGCGTATCTATCGAAACGTCATTTATTTATTTTGGCAGGATTATTGACCAATAAAACAGAACCTCATAAAACAAAACAATGGAAGAGAAAGATGACTGAAAATATCTTTGAACCGAAACAAGAATGTTTATAAATAAATGCTCAAACTTTCGGCAGTGCGAGAATTAATTGAATTTTATTTATTTTTTTCGTATTTTCTTATTTAACACTTCACAAGAAGACGAAGACTCAGGCCGCAATAATTTAAAAGTTAGCTAGACAACGGCAAAAGCGTCGGGACGGCTTTTTGCCAAACTTATTTCGGGATGCGTATTTCATGTTGAGCGCTAATAACTTGTTGTTTCGCTGTCTTTTCTCTGAGGTGTTTTCTTTTCGCGTTTGTTTTTCTTGCACAAAATCGCGGAGATCGAGAATTTTCATTCAAATTGTTTCTTGTTTCTTTTGTGTGTGTTGTGTTTCTATCGGCTTGGGCCCCAACCCCAGCCATTTATTTATTTATTTATGCTCTCGCGGATATTGCTATACATCTGACTGACTCTTTCTCTCTCTTTTTGTTTTCTCAGCCAAGTCAATTATGTAATTTTCAATTTCGTTTGAAAAACTATTTTCAACACTTTTAGGGCATAAAATTGAAACGTTTTGACGCACGCCAGACCGAATTCCGTTCAATACCCGAGACAATTTCACTGGCGCAACCCGAAAAATCACGGACGACGGGGGAGGCAACGCGACGGCGTCGCAGGCCGATGCGATTTGTTAATGCAGCTATATTTAGACGATCGTTACAGTTTTCAGGCCCGCCACACGCAAAATATGGGACAGGTACCTGGTACCAGCTACTGCTTCCCCATTGTTTCTGGGAAATGTCTTTCTTTTGAAGCTTTTGAATTCTCACTAACTTGATTGATTCCGTTATACATATATGTTATTTATTAAGTATACGCCACGGGCACCCCCAGATTTACGCACTATACGTTCGTATACACGTTGATCTCTCTGTGTATATATAGAACTTTCGTATGGCCGAACACGAATATCTGCCAGTTGGGCAACGGATATGTTAATGCGCCGATCGTCAAAGTGGAACTGTCCGCTCATTTCGATGGGCCTGAGGCACACCATACACCATACACCATGCGCCATGCGCCATGCGCCATACGCCATAGACCCATAGAGCAAGTTGAGCAATTCCACAGCACGCAGCAATCGAAGGAGAGCCAACGCTCTAGCGCTTGTGGCGCAGTCGCCGGTGGAACTACTCTCTATCTCTCTGTCTCTCTGAGTCTCTGCTCAATAGAGCGTTTGAAGGAGAAATCATATGTTAAAGCGCAAAATTCTGCTATTATGCAGACCAGGCGAACACTAGGACCGGACGGGATACGGGCAAGGTCTGGGTGAATCACCAACGACAAGTGCACAGGTAGACACAGGCAGAACAGAACTGACCTGAAAGACTTATACGTGGATATGACTTACCATTCGAATTTGAAGGGCAGCATTTCGGACTCCTCATCCTCATCGCAATCGATTTTCACAAAGAACGTTGCCCGCTCGTTGGGAATGCAGCGGATTAAAGAGCTGGAATTATCGCTGAACGTGATGCGGGGTGGTGGTCTGCGTTGGATCGTTTCCGATACTGGTTCTTGGCCAGGAGGTTCTGTCAAGGAGAATGAGGAATATCATGAGCAATATACGAGTATGCATGACTAATCGTCTTCTATGTTGCGGTGTCGCAGGAAGTTTCACAAAAGATAAATTATACGAAATATTTGCAGAAATGTCAAAGATTCCCCCGAAAGAACTAAACATACATATTTTTTTTGCCGGCAACAAGGCAGTCGCGCACCGCCAATTGCCTTCTTTATATTCGACTATAAGATACCCTAAAATGTGCAGCTTTCCCAAAAGGATTCTGTCGATAATGGTCCACTATCTCTTTAGAAAAATAATTTGTAAGCTCCAAAAGTCTGATGATTTTATGAGATTTAAATGTAATTGTTCTAAAGAAGTATATTGACCGTTATACCCTCGGAATACATCGAGTATTCCGAATATGCACTATAAATAGTTCCAAATATTCATACACGCAAAACAAGAAGAACTATTCTCGACCATGTCGAATCTTTCCGTTCCGCCTGAGAAACCATAATCAAATGTGATTCCTAAATACTATTGAAATATTAAGGAACATCTCGTTCTTGGCTGAGGACAGAATGACCAGCAGCAGCAGCGCATTTTCCAACGTACAATTATGAAAATTTCTCATACACATTTCACAATTACGTAACTCGCGCACTGGGGCCCCGCTACTAAAAGACTAGCCAGACAGACACGGCTACGGACAAAGTCGGAGCCCGTGGCATGCCATAAAAATACACACAAATACTCATAAGATCCCATTGTCTGTCCGGGAATGGGCATGTGCAGGGCAGCCAGAAGAACAGAACAGATCGTGGTTGGGGGGGAAAGGAGAAATCGTTCGCTTTCCCGGTTTCGTCTGGGTCTTACCTACTACGACGGCAGCCTCTTCAGCGGCGGCTGCTGCTGGCGATGTTTCCATGTTCAGGTCTCTCTCGCTATATAATTAGCCAAAAAAAACCGGGGCAACACGCGGACAGAGGACCGGCTCGGGGGGTACGGGTACACACTCTCAGGACGACTTTCTCTGTAGGATTAGGGTGCTCTAGACCGAAAATTTTTAAATATTTTTAAATGCGGCTTTAGCCGACAGCCGATTTTCCTATTTATTTATATTTAGAACTCTCGACGCACACCAACGTGAAAAAACACTGGTAATAATTGAAAATTTTCCGCTTTTTCGATTGGCAATTAATTAGTTTTCTTTAAAACAATATACTGGTTAATATATAATTGGGATATATTCAGATTTTTTGCCTTTTCTGGCATTGCAAATAGCCTTTCTTCTTCCAAATTCCACTAGACCAGACACACTGCATAGACACAAACACACACACTTACACAAATTGACACATTTGTGAACACAGAAATGTTCTTTTCCTTTCCTTTCTTTCTATATATAAATAATATATACAACACGGCGTTCGACGTCGAGGGCGCGCACCACGTCCAGCAGACACCTCCTGGATCTCCGATCGTTTTTCTCAGACTGAACAGAGCAGACAACAGATCCAACAGTCCATGCCACTAGCAGAACACTACACCGCGCAGCGAGAGAGAGATTGAGAGATCTCTCAGAGAATTCCTGAGGATGAGAAAAGATTTGCGCATGTTTTTTCAAACTTTTATTTCTGGTCGCACACTGTCTCGTCTCCCATTAGGTATAAAATAAATACATTGCTTAGAGTACTGATCTCTGTTTTTTGTTTTTTTGCTCAGGTGTATAGTAAGTACAATACATGCAGCACTCGACCAGGCGCTAAGGCAATCATTTTGCTTAAGGTAAGACACAAATCGATCGATCGATCAATCGATGAAAAGAACATAAGAAAAATACAAAAACTGCACGGAGCATTTCAACAAGTGGCGGCTACTTGTTGCCCCCTTGTACGTTTAGTTGTTCGATAAAGCTACCCCAATGTCGGTATTGTCCGGAGTGGATCCGGAATCCCGCCTCAGACCGAATAAAAATGGGTATGGAATTTGGTGCGACACGAGGGCTCCGTAAAGGGCGAAAACCACGCAAGCGAGAATCGCCCAAAAACCGATTGAATGCTCTTGAGACGCGACTTCTTTGCCCATCGGGCCTCCTCCTTCTTCAGTTGCTCGATTCCCTGCAAACGAAAGAAACGAATCAAATCAAATTCATTCTCCAAACAATTGGCATTTACTCACCGTCTGATCGTTGAATATGGCCGTCAGCTGAGTGGCCAGCATTATGATGGTGAATATGCCAAACATCAGGCCCTCGAACGTGAGAAAGAGCAGCAGGAATATTGTGGATGGCGGAGAGTACGGCGAGCATGTGCGCCAATCGTTCTTTACGCACTCCGCGAACTGCGTGAGCACTAGAAAGAGCGTATGCAGCGATATCGAGGCAATGTAGAACTGCAGAGAGAACGCGAGTGAGTGAAGAGCATGGAAAAATGTTCCGCATTAGCTTACGGTGAAGAGTACAAAGTACTTTTGATTGTTCTCGCCTACGCAATTGTTGACCCAAGGACAATGGTGATCCATTTTCCGAATACATCGTTGGCAGACGGAGCAGTGGTGGGCACGCTCCGGTTTGATGCTACAGCACTTGGGGCACTTGTAAAACATCTGACCCTCCCGGTAGCCCATCTGCTCGATCATTTCTTTGGTGGCATTTCCCCTAGGCACAGCGCCCTGCAAAATGGCGACATGGTTAAGTGCATACGGATTTAATTGATTCGTACTTACCGGATCCGAGAGCATGGTGCGTATGTGGGAGGCAAATGCTAGGAACGCCAGCGCTTGGAATATAATCATGTTAATAGTACTGAAAACTGTGTAGTCGCTGGGCATCAGAATAAGGCGCATGACCACAAACTCGGCAAAGAGGATGAGCAGCCAAGTCATGATGACACAGACAATGCCGCAGATGTCCTTCACGCACCAGGCGCGGTTACCGCAGCACCGATTGTGGTGGTCCACACTGGCCAGGGCTGAATAAGAGTAGTTGTTCATGGTTTTTTGATACGCAAATGACACATCGGATTCATCAATTCCCAGATAACATGGCGCGACGGCAGACCATAGGCTATTAACAACAAAACTTCGGACGAATAGATAATGAAAAACCAAATAAAAATACAACTAAGAAAAGTGCCACTCACAGTGTGGCCGAGGCAATCAGCTGGCCGTAACCGCCATTCACCCTGGAACGCGAACAGAAAACGAGAAGTCCATTTAGGTGGTTCATAAAATCGTTCATTTCTCATATCATATCTTTCAAACTTAATCCAATTCACAAATACAAATACAACCGTTAACGTTTCTCTACAGATAATGGAGGAATGAGTTTAGGCACAAGTAAAAATACACAGAGATTAAAATATTAGGTCATGCAGTATTATGCGGGCATTAGCTTGGCCTTCGGTTCCAGCAGGGCCCATAGGCCGGCCAACGAGGAAATCGCTCCCAGGAAGCCAATCGTCCGTGGGGTCAGATTAGTGTATCCCAGGGCCGTCAGGGGGATGAAGAAGTCGCAAATATTCTTTACTGTGTCCACTGCAATGTCCTTGTGTCCCTGAATAATGACATACGACTGCAGGGCCAGGCGTTTGAAGTCCTGTGGGCTATTGATACTTGTTGGCAATTTACAGCGCGATATGCCACTCCTGCAGCTGGACTTGTGAAGGTCCAGCACCCGCACTATCTCATAAAAGTCACGGCACAGATTCATGATAATCGAGAATAGCCAGTATTTATTGGCAATGTTGGACCAACGCTTTACGTCCACTTTCGTCAGGCCTGTCCGCGCCAACCACAGGAAATGGTCAGCGAACAGGAACAGGGACTGCGACAGCTTACCCAGGGTCAGAGTGGCCCGAATAGTGAGGTCCGGATAGTGTATTGTGCGCAGAGTTCCATAGAACACATCCAAACATTTGCCAAAACGAAGCACTATGGATTAGCATGTATTAACTGTGCAATGTAATCGTATTGAATGAAACTCACGCTTTCGGAATGTGCTCAGGATGTACTCAACTGTCTTGAAGTTGTCCACCAGCGCTGGACTAGAGTTGCACACCTCGAGGGAATCCCACATTGCTCGCGACGCATATTGAATTAGTCTGTTTTGGTTGTGAAAATAAAGATTAGTGTTTTATGCTCCCTTCGAGTCGACCCACTTACCTCGCTAGTTTATCCCGGCCAGCAACCTGGTTATTCAACTGCACCCACTTGTCCATATTCATGTTAATAATGTGCAGGCGATCCGAACGGTCAAGGTACAAAAAAGCAGTCTAAGAAAAAGTTATAGAGAAATTCCCTTTTACAACACTCTTGCCGCTGCAAATCGGTTTAGGCTATCTTTTTCGCTCTCTTTGAATCGGGTTCAGATCGGCATTTGAAGCATTTAAAATTAGCCAACCTTGTAGAAAATTAAATCAAAAATGGGATAAAATTATTTGTTTAGGACAAGGGGTCCTATCTAGCGAGTAATATTCAGCCGAATAGCAAAATCGAGGAATATGGTTTTCGATCATGGAACCATTAGCCCATTGTCGACCAGTGGGTATTAAAATACCTTTCACGAAAATCATGAAACTATACGAATTTTAGCATAGATCAGGTAAAAGATATCGCCGGGTGCTTTGTAACTGAAGAGGAATAATTGGATGGACCTACAAGACTAATTAGTATTAGTATTATTTTCAGCGTTTTAACTCGAGTTGTTATGTTGTTTAAATAAAGGGGGATTAGGTGGGCAACGTTTTTTTTCATCGGTATTTTTTTTTAAGTAGACGGTATATTTTTTATATTTCTGAGTGTCGGACGGTATATTTTATCAATAAATCCTGCTCCACATACTTGTGCCACATCCCCATTTGCGGATTTGTTTTTGTTTTGTTTGCATCTGAAGGATATCTTATCTGAAGCATATAATTATAATTATATAATATTAAATTTTATCGGTAAGGCCACATAAAACAGTGGTTCGAGATTAGTTTCGAAATTATAAACACATAATTAAAATAGCAGTAATGGCTGTAAGTAAATTATACTGGATCAGAATGCCAGGGAATCGCCAATAAACATTTTGTTCTCTTACAGCCAACGCAGAAGGGCAAACAGGGCACGAAAGGTGCCAAGCAAATCGTCGAAGAAAACAAGACCACATTAGCATTTTATAGGAACATGGCCATTGGCTGTGCTGCACCTGCTCTCCTATTGAGCTTTCTAGTCTTCGAATTCAGCAAAGTCACAATCGTAAGTCAGATCAGTGACAAACTGCGGCTACCTCTTAAATTAATATAATTTCCATTCTCCACAGATCATGTACATCCTTTCATTGGCGATACTTGGCGGTGCCTACCAGTTCATGGCGTTTATGTCCCAAGCAAAGTTCTCGGAGACCGGGGCTCTACTAGACTCGGGCAACGATCTGAACATGGAAGGCGGCATAGCGGAGTGAGTAGTGCTTGCGTCTGAATCCGTTAGATATTAGCTAATCCTGTCTGCTTTGCTTGCAGAAATGTCAAGGACCTGATTATCCTTACTTCTGGAACATTACTGATGGCCCTCATCTCGAACTACTTCTGGCTGGTGCTGCTTCTGGCGCCCATGCGAGCCGGCTGGATGCTCTGGGGCTCCTTCATAAAGCCCTGGCTTGCCCAGCGAAATGCCCAAGAGGAGCCAGAGTTGGACGAAAAGAAGCAGAAGAAGATGGAGCGAAAAATGCGCCGCATGAGATAAAAGGCAGCATCAACTGTCGGCTAACTATCAGTTGTGTTGGGGTCCTCTGGGGCTGGCTTAAATATGTTTAAATGAGATTTTACGCTTAGATAATTGACTAGGACTAGATGGGTGTGTGGGCGTTTCCAAATTATCAAAAATTATTCATTCAAATTATTCAGCAAATTAAATTCGAGACAAAAGACAATCCCCGCAATTTTCAGCTACGTGAAACATTTTGTGCGATTTAATTTTTGGTGAATTTTTCCGATTGAACAAACAATACAGTACAGTTCCATATATAATGCATTCACGTCTCCACAAAAGGCCCACAGACTACTATAATTAATTTGTTCTGCGAACGATCGTCCTGTACTGGTGTGTGCATTGTAAATACATATACATTACGATATTATTTATAAATAAATGTGTGCTTGAGTGCAGAAGGAACTAGTGCATTTTCCGCATCGTTTCTTTGCCTGGGAGGAGCTTGGTTTAACAAAATATTGCATGTTAAAAAGAAGCGACAAAATTGAAGGAATTAAGCTTTTTGCAACAATTTATTCTCTTGTGGCTCCAAGCTAAGGTAAGGTATAAAAGAAATATGAAATAATATTAGGCTGTGATGTTGTTCCTCTAATTGAAAACGACCCTGCCCTTCCCCCTGGTATTTCTTCGAGACACACCCATCTATAACAGATTACAAGAAACAACATGGGCTAAATGTTTGATAACTTAACTTTAAATGCAGGCATAGGTGAGAGAAAAGGGACTGGGAGGGAGAAAGAGGGAGAGACGGTCGAAATTATAAGAGATTGTTCCGTCACATCCTACGCGAAGATAACCAGCTAATGGAGTGTGTATGTGTGTGTGTGTTTGTGTTGTGACCAACTCCTCCGTTTTTGCTTAACATCGTAAATCTGTGCTTAACTACAACAACTTCCGAATAATATATATATGATATATATATATATGTAGGTGTATATAAATATATAACATCAGGGCTAGCTCCTCCGCCACGGGTATGGTATGTTCTTAGTTGTATTGCTCGGGAATGACATAGGAGATGTCGTCCCATGGATGGCGATAGAGACCCTGCTTGAGACGCTTCTGGTCCATATAATGGCCGATGAAACCTATGCTACGGCCCAGCACAAACAGAGAGTTGATGGCACCCACATTGATGTACTCCTGCGCCTCCTCGCTGGAAAATAAAATTTAAGGATTCATAAATTATAGGTACATTCTCATACAGAATATTCTGCCTCGCGTCCTACCTTGTGAAAGATCCACTGTTGCGGAGCATATCAACGAAAGCAGTGGCTATCACACCATCCACATTCAAAATCAAATTCGGCTTCTTGTTGGTAGTGATCTTCTCGACCTCCAGGGCGTATCTGAGCAGCGGACAGGCCGGGAAGTTCTCGAGGACAAATTCCTTGATGATTTTCACACGCACATCGGGGTTGTTAATCGACTTGACGCGATGCCCAATGCCCAGTATCAGTTTCCCCTCCTTGCGCATCTTGTTCACAAACTCCATGGGATGCAAATTGGTGTCGTAGGCCTCCGAGAACTGTCTCGCCGAGCCATCCAGAGCACCACCAAACCGATCACCCTGAAAATTCGAATTTTTTAGAAGTCTTTCAGCAAAGAAAACGCATTTTATTCCACTTACAATTGTCAGCAGGCCACTGACAACGGAAGACACCAGATCCTTTCCGGCACGGGCACACACAATGGTGTTGTGGGCGCCAGAGACAGCAGGTCCGTGATCGGCCGTCACCATGAGACACATTTCGAAGAACTTGCACACGTACGAGGGCAGACAGCGCTGGAACCAGAGTAGCGAGATGACACCGCCAATGCCCACATCCTTGCTGAGCACCTCCGAGATGGGCATACCCGCGTAGATCAGCTCCTGGCCACGCTCATCGCAAATCGAGGTCATGAACGACGCTGGCTTGCGGATGAGACCCAGCTCCCGGGCCCACGAGTAGTCCATGGGCACGGTCGGTGGCGGCACCTCCTCCTTGGGCACCACACGGCCCGTCTTCACCAGCTCACTGTACACGTGGTGGATGAGCTCGCCGAGCGTGTCGAAGGAGTCTGGGACATAGGCACGCGCCTCCCGTAGAGCCTTGTTCTTGGCCGTGGCCGTTTCGCGGTCCGAGTTGGCGCAGGATCCGGCGTGTCCGAACTGTACCTCAGAGGTGAACATGCTGGCACAGGTGCCGATGCACCAGGCCACCAGTGGCTTGGTGATGCGTCCGTCCTGGAGAGCGGCGCACACATCGTACTCCTCGGTGCCGCCCACCTCGCCCAAAAGCACAATCAGCTTGGTCTCCGGATCGGCCTGGTAGCGCATTATGTGGTCCATGAACGTGGATCCTGGGTACCGATCGCCGCCAATGGCAATGCCCTCGATCACACCGTCGGTGGCCTTCGATATGATGTTGTTCAGCTCGTTGGACATGCCGCCGGAGCGAGAGACATAGGCCACGCTGCCCGGACGATAAAGTTTCGAGTGGAGAATGTTGTCCAGCATGCCGCCAGTGTTGCCGATCTTGAAGCAGCCTGGCTTAACGCCGCCCACTGTGGCGGGTCCGATTATGGCCACACCCTTCTTGTCGGCCTCAAGGATCAGTTTGCGTGTCATGTTCTCGGGTATGCCCTCGGCAATGATGGCAACGGTGCGTATCTGGGGGAACTCCAGCACCTCCAGCGTCGACTCGTAGGCACTGCGCAGGGAGGCAAAGCTCACCAAGACATCGACCTCCTTGTTCTTGTGGATGGCGTCGGACATCTTCTTGTAGACGGGAATGAGGATCTCCTTGTGGCCCCAATAGTATTTCTGCTTGTGATCGCCGGTGAATGGATACACCATTGCCACCACAGAGGGTTCTTCGCGTCTGCAGGGAGAACATATACATACGTTAAAGAGAGAGCTTTACTTAGGGTTATATATTCTAAATATTCTGAATGCTTGCCTGCAGATAAAATCAAAGTCAAGCATCGACTGCACCGCACGCTGCTGCATGCCCCACACAATCGCCTTGGTGGTGTTGGAGAAGAACTTTCGAGTTAGGCTCGAGCCATTGCGATGCCCGCTGGCACTGCTGGCACTGCTGCCATTGTCCGCCTCATCTGCTGAGATAGGTGGTAGTTTAATCGATTTAGCTGCGGTCGAGCTCAGGGCTTTTTGATTTTTGATCCCAGAATGAAGTCGAGTCGAGTCGAGAGTTCGATTATAATGATGATATGGAGGAGGAGTAGAGAGCGAGATCAAACCAGGATAAAAGATACACAAATAACGGAAACATATACAAATACGATACAGATACAGATACAGATACGATATATACGATATACAAACACGGGGTGTATGAGGATTCGCGGTGCAGTTTCGGGTTGATTGGCCAAACGAGCATTTCAAATTGGTTTTTGATTTTTTGATCGAGGTTTATGTGGATTGTTATTTTTGTTTGTTTTTTATGTGATGACAATATTTGTTGTTGTCGGTAGTCGAGGGCGAGGGCGAGAGCGATCAATGCAAATACATACAAAATACAGAGAGAATAAAAAGAGAGAGAGAGATCAGATAAGTGCAGGACAATCAATACCATCGATGCCTCAGCAAGGATACAAACGATTAAAAATAAGATTGTATATACGATTACTGCTAGAATGGATTAGTGATCTCCTTTGGGGTACACACACACCATACAACAGATTTCACGTTCAGATGCCATTCTAATTCCATTCCATTTCACTTACCGGAGCCGAGGGCCTCGCTGCTGGCATCGCTGGCCGCCTTGAGATCAGCCTGCGCCTGCTGGCCGCCAGGAAGCAGGAAATTGGCGGTGGAGAACTCCACACTGGCCACCTTCGGGATGGGCCGCTTGCCCAGGGCCATTCCGCAAATGGCAGTCATGTGTGTTTCGGGTCCAAACACGTGCAGCGGTATGCCCAAGGTGCCGCCAAAGTCACGCATGCGGCGCAGACCCTCCTGATAGTTGGGCCCAGCGCGGCGCACAAAGATCGAGACATTGTGCTCGACCAGCTTTGGCTGGAACTCACGGAGGGCCGTGATGATGCCTGGGATGAGGAATGAGTACAATATTGATCGATGGCTGATAAGATATATATATGTATATAGGTATATATCACCTTGGAAGGTCGCGGCAACGTTTGTGAAGTTGGCAATGCCACCGCCGGTTATCAGCACCTTGCCATCGGGGTGCTTGGGCGAGGAGGTCATCAGGTTGAGTATGGTCTTGGCGTACTCGTACGTCTGCTGCTCGGAGGGGGCACCACTGTACTCGCCATAGTTTGCCAGCTCTGAGGCGCCGCCCAGATCGCAAATGGTGTCCGAATAGATCACGCTGGCACCGCCGCCCGCCACCATCGTCCAGATGCGACCATTCCGATTCAGAATCGTGAGCTTCAGCGAGGCCCCGCTCTTGGCATCCAAATCGGCGATGTAGGCCTCCTCGGGATAGGCATCGCGGCCAAATGGTGGCGGATAATCGATCTCTCCCCACTTGGGACGGCAGATAAAGTCAGCCGTCGAGTCCAGCTTGGCGGCCAGGTCCAGTATGTACAGATTGTCGGCCGTCACCACCAGGGGATTGATCTCCAGATATGTGAAGTACAAGTCCACGAACGTCGCATACAAGGCGCCAATGAATTTGGCAATGCGCTCCCTCTGGCTGGCATCCTTGACCTCCTTGAGCAGCTTGCTCTTGACATCGGCCAGCGAGAGGTCACTGTTCACTGGGACATCCAGCTTCACGGCCTTGGCATCCACATCGCCAATGTCCACGCCACCCTGATGATAGAACAGAATCGTGTCCGCCGATCGATGGGAATAGATGCACACGTACATTTCCTCCGCCTGGGACAGAGCAGAAAACAGTTAAGGGGTCGGATTCGACTCAATTGAGATTGAAAAAGAGTGTGGTGTGGCACTCACGTCGGTGTGTGGCAGAAAGGGTTCGATGATGAAGTTCCGCAGCTTGCCCACGGCATTGCCGATCTTCTGATCCTTGTTGATGCGCTCGCCAATCCATTGTTTCACCTGCTCAAAGCTCTTCTTCACGCCAATCAGTCCCAGTTTGCCGCGACGCTTGATCAACTGATCGGGCTTGACCACCAGCGGCTGCAACAAAGGAGAGCATCCCCAAAATCGAAATGTTAATTAAACTGTTGATAAGATACGAGTGCGAGTATAATAATAGCCAATAAATCATTGAACTTGAACGGACAGCGAGAGAAGCCGGTTTCTCAGCAACTGTGTGTGTGTATGTGTGTGGAGCCAGATCAGGCGATAGCGAGCGAGCGTCCCCAAGGGTCAGGCCGGCCACACAGCCAGCGCCTCGTCATTGACAATGACAATCCCCGGGTACACTATACGCGAAAACACAGATGTTGTCGGAGATGCCTATTAGAAAATCGT